AACCGTAACCTTAAACCTAACATTAACCCTAACACTAAACGTAATCCTAACCCAATCTCTAAAGATAACCCTAAACCGAACACTAACTGTAACACTAACTCTATCCCTAACCCTAACACTATCCCTAGCCTAACCGTAATCCTAACACTAACTCGAACCCTAACCGTAACCCTAACCCTAACACTAAACCAAACCCTAACCCTAAAACTAACCCTAACCCTATCCCGAACCCTAACCCTAAACATGAGCTTGACTCTAACCCTAACACTAAATCTCATGCTAAAGCTAACCTTAAGCCTAGCCATAAAATTAGTCCTAACCACAACCCTAACCCAAACGCTAACTCTAACTGTAAACAAACCCTAACCCTAAGCATGACCAAAACTTAACCCTAACTCTAAACCCTAAACCTAATCCTAACTCTAACTCTAACTCTAACTGTAACCCTAATCCTTACCCTCACCTTTACCCTAACCCTAAAACTAACCTTAACCCTAACCGCACTGTAAGCCTAGCCCTAACCCTAACCATAAAACTAACCCTAAATGCAAACCTAACCCTAATGCTAACCCTAATGCTAAAACTAACCCTAACCCAAACCCTAACACTTAATCCTAACCCTAGCCTCTTACCCTAAACCTAACTTTAACCTTAACCCTAACCCTAACTCTAAACCCTAAACTGAATCCTAATCCTAACCCTAACTGTAACCCAAGCCCTTACCCTGATCCTAACCCTAATTCTAACCCTAACCCTAACCTGTCGTGGTGCCTTCCCAAAGTCTCCAGCAGCCCAGTACCTTTGGCACTGCAAGTAGCAAGGGCCACGTTAATATGCCACTGCGGGCAAGAACTATGGTCTGTGGGCCCGAAGCTGCCAGACAGGATGAGGCGCATGACGACAATGACTAAAGAGAGGAGTGGTCCTTTCGGGGGTATCCATGTTCTGAGTTTATTACAAGTCTGAGGAGACAACTGTAGCTCAGAGGGAAGATATGCCCCAAAAGGCACCAAGCACTGTATGCACAGCCTTTTATATGGGAGATGTAACAAGAGGAGGGAACAACAGTCAACCAAAGGGTAACAACTGCGGGTGTCAACCAAGGTGACAAGCAGAGAAAACATCTAATGGGGTGAAAGGGAGGAAGGGGACCCCAAGGACCAGCCTATCAACTGAGGCCCCGGGTAGAACTTTCTAGGTAAAAGGGAGGGGCCTCAGAGTAACAGACAGGCCCCAGGGAGGGGTCAGGGGAGTGACACAGCATAAATTAACGAATTGGGTAGAGGGAGGGATGACTGGAAGACAGAGGGGGGAGGAGAAGGGAGGCCAGATCATTTACCATGAGGGGGGAATGGGAGCAACCATAAGGGAGGGAAACATGAAACACACCACAACACTAACACTAACCCAAACCTGACCCCTAACTGCAAACCCTAAACCAAACCCTAACCCTAAACATAACAGTAAAATTAAAACAAACGCTAGCCCTAGCACTAACCCCAAGACTAAACCGAATGTTAACGCTATCCTTAGTCCCAACCATAACCCAAAGCCTAGCACTAACGCCACCCATAAGCATAAACCTAATCCTAACCATAACCCTAACCGTAACACTAAACCTAACGCTATCCCCAACCCTAACACAAACCCTAAATCTTAAACCAAACCCCAAACCTAACCCTAAGCCCTAACCTTAACACAAATCCTAATAACCCAAATGCTAAACCTAAATTTAACCCTAAACATAGCCCTAGACCTAACCTCAACCCTAACCCTAACAATAACCCTAACCCCATCCCTAACCATAAACATAACCCTAACCCTAAGCCTAACCCTACAACTAACCCTAACCCTCACCCTAAATCTAACACTAACACTATTCTTAATCCAAAACCAAACCCTAACCATAAACCTAACATGCTAGCCCAAACCCCAACACTTACCCTAACCCAAAAATTAACCCTAACCGTAACCCTAATCTTAACCCTAACACTTAACCTTAAACCCTAACCCTAACATTAAACCTGGCCCTTACACTGACACTAACCCTAAAACTCACCCTAAGGCTAAATTTATTCTTAATCAAAAACAAAAGATTAAAACTAACACTAGGCCTAAACCTAACCCTACCATTAACCCTAAACCTATTCTTAATGCAACATCTAATGCTAACCCAAACCTAACGTTAACCCTAAACCTAATCCTAACCCTATCCCTAAACGTAATTCTAACCCTAAGCATAACCGTATCCTTAGCCCTAACCCTCACCCCAAACCTAACACTAAACCTAACCCTAACCCTAATGCTAAACCTAACCCTAGCCTTAGTCCCAAAACAAAACCCAACCCTAACCTGAACCGGAAACCGGTATTCAATCCAAAACCTAACCCCAACCAAAACCCTAACACCAACCCTAATCCTAATCCTAACTCTAAACCAAACCCTAATCCTAACCCCAAACCTAACACTAACCCTAACCCCAACCCAAACACTTAATCTTAGACCCAAAATAAACCCCAACCCTAACCATAACCCTAACCCTAACACTAAAACTAAACCTAATCCTAACAGCAACCCTAACTCTGTAACCCTAACCCTAATCCTAAACCTAAGGCTCCACCTAACTCTAAGCCTTACCCTATACCAAATCCACATAACCCTAACCCAAATCCTAAACGTAACCCTAACCCAACCCTAACCCTAACACTTACCCTAAGCCTAACCTGAAAACTAACTTTAACACTAACCCTAAAACCTAACCCTAACGCCAAACCTAACCCTAAAACTAACATGAACCCTAACCCTAATACTAAAACTAAGATGAACGCTAACCCTTACCCTAAACCTAACACTAACCCTAACCCAAACCTAACCCCAACCCAAGACCAAACACAAACCCTTACCCCAAACCTAACCCTCTCACCCTAACCCTAAGTCTAAAACAAAACCTAGCCTAAGAGTAACACTAAGACTAAAGCTCAGCCTAAAACTAAGGCTAACACAAAACCTGACTCTAAAATTAATCCTAAACCTAACCCTAATCCTAATCCTAGCCCTAACCCTAAATCTAAACCTAACCCTAAACCTAAAACTATCTGTAACTGGAATCCTAATCCTAAACCAAACCCTAAACCTGAACCTAAACCAAACACTAACCCTAACCCTAAAGCCAACTCAATTCCTGACCGAAAACCAAAACCTAACCCTAAGCCCAATCCTAACTTTAGCCCTAACCCTAAACCTAACCTTAACCTAAACCTAAAACTAAACCTAACCTTAATCCTAACCCTAACCCTAAACCTAAACCTATCACTAACCCTACTCCTAACCAAAAGTTGAACTGTATGCCTGGGCCTAAGCCTAAGCCTAAACCTAACCCTAAACCTAAGTCCAAACCTATCCGTTACCGAAAACCTAACCCTAACCCCAACCCTAAACCTAAATCTAAGGCACACCCTGAGCCAATCCCTAATCCTAACAGCCAGCGTAAACCTAAGCCTAACCCTATTCTTATTTTAAAACCTAACCCTAACCTTAAACCTAAACCAAACCCTAAAACTAAACCTGAACGTAATCCTAACCCTTCCCTAAAACGAAAACTAAAGCTTATCCTAACCCTAACCCTAAAACTAAACTAAATTCCGTCTCATCGGTGGGAAACAAACTTGGGGAGAGAATGAATGGCCTGCTGAAAAGATCATTGAATATTATGGTTCTGCCACATGGCCTTAGGATGAGTCATGGGGACAGCGGACCCCCATCTATTTGCTAAACCACCTAAATAAGACTGCAGGCTGTGGCGGAGATTGTATGCAATCACACTTCAGATGCTCTTGAATTATTATCCAGGCAATACTCTCAAATGAGGGCTTTTGTGTATCAAAACAAAATTGATTACTTACTAGCCCTTGATTACTTACTAGCTGGAGAAGGAGGTGCGTGTGGAAAATTTAATGAATCTCAGTGCTGTGTGGAAATAGATGATTACGGGGAAACCATTAGAGAGAGATCTGGCCACAGAAATTAAACGGATAGCCCATGTTCCAGTGCAAAAGTGGAACTCACTTCTCCAGGCATTGTGGTGGGATCATTTGTTTGATGGGGCTTGGTGGAAAAAAGCAATTTTCTTCATTTTATGTTCAGTAGCAGGAGTCATATTCCTACCCTGTCTCATCCCCTGTTTTATAAGACTCATCCATTTGGTGGTACAAGGGATGCAAATAGCAGCCTTACCCACAGATCTGGAAGCCGCCCTAGGGAAAACAAATTAGGTACCAAGAATAATGACACTGGGAGAAGAAATTCCTCACAGCAGGGTGGCTGAGGCTCTGGCAAAGTTCAAAGGACAAATAAAGGGAAAAGAAAAAAAGTACAGTTTACCAGGAAATTCCAGATGTAGACTAGAATGGGGAAAATTAATGAAAGGGGAATATAATGTTTTTTTCCAATAAAGAAATCCTGAGAGTCAGTAGGGGTAGAAACTAGGGCACGAATTAATGGGTTAATATCGAAGGTGGGGGATTGTTATGTGTAGTAAACATAATTTGTGCCATTCCTTGTATAAAATATGTAATATTGGATACTTTGTTAACAGCAGGGAAAAGGAACAGTGCACAGAGGAGGGAGAGAAGGGGAACAGAACGGAGTAGCAGGGTAGGGACAGGACAGGAAAGACGCGGGTTTGGGGAGGAGACGAAAATGGGGGAGATGGGTTTTTGTCACACATTGCAGCAGCAGCGACATGGATCAGGGCTTTTTTGGGGGGTTTTTTGTTTTGTTGGGGTGTTTGGTTTTTTTTGTTTGTTGGTTTTTTGGTTTTTTGGGGTTTTTTTATTTATTTATTTTTTATTTAGGAAAAGGGTAATAAAAATAAACCAGGTCTGACATAAATGTCTTTAAAAGCCATTAAAACTTTTTAAACCCAAGAAAACTGTCCTGTATTCTATTCATACTGGTTTTGGTATCATGAAATCAAGCAGGCTCTCCAAGAAACAGTAAATCATGGTGACTAAACCTCTGTCTCCTGGTTCTTTGCATTACATCCCAGTGTAGGAAGCTCTGCAGCCATTTTTTCCCATCCTGTATTAGAGAGAGCATGGATATTAAGGGCACACACAGGCACAAAAAGTCTTTCTGGTTCTTCAAAAATACAAAAATGCCTGCAATAAAAATTACATAATTGTAATAACATTACATATTCTCCCTCAATCTGTTCAAGAAAAGGCAAATTGAAGCTTTCATGTCCCACTGAGAGACATTGAATCAAATCTTCCCCGAGTTTGAACCCAGTAATAAAATACGGATTTTTTTGACCAAGTAGGTCTATATGAGAACAGCTCAGGAGGCTCTCACAGCTCACAGTGATGAGGACGGAACACAGAAAAATGTTAAAGGTGAAGTGTTAGTCCCCTGAATTAATGCCCTGATGGAGCCAAATTTTTTTGCAAAGAGACATAACAGTTTCTTCCCCTTGTTTCCAAGTGTCTGAGTCATCCTGTAATTCATAATCTCCACTAGTGCAGATCAATCTGACATGGGTAAGTAACATATCCGGCTCCTGTGCTCCAAGCCACATGTCTCCAATGTAAATGGAAGTCAGGAATACAGAAACAGCTGCGGAAGAAAGAGGAGAGAAAAATCAGAACAGATATGTTTCTATTTCCCCACAGGATTACCAAGCCAAGCTGCTTGGTACCTCCAGGACTATGCTTTAAAAGAGTCCCCTAACTTTTCCTAGCTGGAAAATCTGGAGTGGCTTTGTGCATGCAAAGCCAATGATCCTACTCACAAGAAGGAACAAACCTGTTTCCTGTTAAATAAAGCAGCTGGAAATCTGACATGTCAGATGCTCCCACTGACCAGTAATAGGGAACAGCATCCAGGCCCACGTGAAGCTGGGTTTTTGCAAACTATTCCCCCTCTTGGATTTATATATCTTTTACACCTTTTATTCCATTTTAATCCCCGAAAGGGAAGTTTCTTAGAGGGAGTGTTGTAGTGTCAGAAAACCTCACAGTGTGACCATGCTCTGTGCTGCCCACCCTTGCCCCCATCCTGCCAAAGACACAGCTTCTGCTTTGGGAAGCCACAAGCCTGGGTGGATATGGGAGAGCTGATTTAATGGATTTTAAAAGCCATGGAATCTCCTAGTTTCCCCCACCACTGCCTCGTAACATGAGTGATAAGAACAAGACAAGTCACCTGTCTTGTCCGCATCCTCTTCCACTATTGCTGATAGACAAAGAGATTTCACAAGCTCATGGAAGCTGCTGGTCAAGCCCTGCTCTTCCATCAGCTGCAGCATGATGGAACTGAGCCCACCGAGCTGCCTGGAGAGCCCAGCTGAGGTGCTGCTCTCCTGGCAAAGCCGGGTGTAAAGCTTGAAGAGGCTGTTCCTCAGTGCCTCATCCCTGAGCATCTCGCGCACAGCCGCCGGGTGTGGTAGGACACAGTTCCGCAGCCACCTCAGCACTGGTGACACATCCTGCTCCCTCAGGGAACTCTGCCCAGTCAGGGACCTCACCAGCCACTTAGTGACAACGTGAATGGATGCACAGGTGACAGCCACTGCCTCACCCCCCCGTTCACCAGCTCTGAGGGTCTCCCCTCCCTGTGTGGAGGGTGGTACTGGAAAAACAGGGTCCCAGTGGGCAAATATGGAATTCAGATGTTCTCTGCATTTCTCCAGCTCAGACACTTCCACGTCTGCAGCAGTGTCATCTTCTTCCCTCCCATTCTTTTTCCGAGTGTGATGATACACACAAGATGAGGCTTGATGTTTGTTCTTGTCTTTAATATTTTCTGTAAGAAGATAACCACCATCAAAACAAACATCAGATACTCCAAAGGATTTTCCTAGAACAAAATTGTGCAAGCAAGGTGCTCTCCTGTGTAGATTCAGTTGTTAAAATGGCAAGTTCCAGCCTTGTTTAGTAGCTTCATGGAGCCTGCACTGTTCAAAGGGGCTCCGGGAGCTCCCAGGGATACCAGGCTGGAACCTTGTTCCAAACTGGACCGCTCAGCCTGGGGATGAGAGAAACTCCTGAAGCCTGGAGCAACACAATCCACACATGCACTAAGTTACATCACTCCACAAACCCTCTTCACATCTTTCTGAGGAGTTTTAAAGGGCGAAAAAACTTTAGAAAAGCTAAAGCTTTTACAGAATCCCTAAATACATGACACTTTCTTAACTGATGCAGAACATTTAAACAAACCTACAGAAGCTTTAATGTGCACCAAAAGCAGCTGCTGCTGCAGGAAACCAGCGCTGTTTTAAGACCTCCCACTCCCAAGTTCCTTGCACTTTTTGTTCACAAAGAGAACAAGAGAAGTCACACAAGTCCTGGGTTTTTTTCCTTTCTTTAAAACTGGTGACAACAAGAGACACCAACTATTAACTTTTGCCTGCTTTACTTATTGTTTTTACTTAAACATCTCTTTCAGATCCCCATTCACAGCTTTGAGCACAAAGCCTCCAGGCACTGCTTCTTCTCTTAAGATTCATTAAAAATACCCTTTTTCGAAGCCTGACTCAAGATTTGCCACTAAGTTTCATTTGAAAGCTTTTTCCCTTCATAAACATTGTTTCTCCAAAGCTTCCAAATTGTGTTAAGGTTCAAAGTCACCACAAGGAAGATCTGAATAATGCCTTTCTATTTCCTTTCCTCCTCCCTCAAGGTCCATCAGTCTGACAGCAGGTATTAGTACTACTTCCAGAGAAGTTTGCCTCATTTGAACTGCTGGCCTGCAACAGCTGCAACAAAATACACCTTCCTTGAAGTATTTCAGCACTTACTGAGCAATTCTTTCTTTTGGTCCTTCTGAGCCAGGGCCTGCAGGTCCTCCTGCAGCTGCAGGTCTTGGCTGACAAGGCTCCACTTGTGTAGCAGCAGCAGCAGCTCCCTGCTGGAGAGGATGCTGTCGTTGACCATGAAACGCCTCCTCTCCCTAAAAGCCTCCACAACAACAGCACGGTATTCCAGCACAGAGCTGAGGGTGCTGAACAACTCACTCAGCTTGGCCAGATCTCCATTAGTCCTGGTAAAGGAAAACACAAGTGCCATGCATGCAAATCCATCACTACAGCTCTTAATCCCTAGTGTCAGAATGGCCAGGAATTAGGGACAAAGGACTTGACAGCAACTGTGCATCACATTTTACTTTATTCCCAATGTATTCAGACACCTAAATCCTCCTGTCAAAGAAATCCCATCCAAATTCACTACTCAACACACAAACTAAAGGTGAAAAAAGCCATCCATCTAGCAGAGATAAAGAAAGCCTCCTGGCCTTAATAACGTTCAAACTGGACAGATGATGAAATGCAAACCAACTAAAAAAAAAAAACAAAACAAAAGGACTTACCGAATATGTTTGGTTAATGTGACCAAAACACACAAAAATTCATTTACAAGCTGAATAGGAAGAAGTTTCCTATTCTCCTGGGATTGATTCTTGTCTTCTCTCTTGTCTCCTAAATTTGTTAGCCATAGAGTATGGAGTAAAGAAATAATTTTATTTATCACCTTGTTCTCCAGAAACCTGAAAAACAAAACAAAATGAAAAACAAAACAAAACAATAAAGAAAATAAAACAAAAATAAAAGGAAAAAAGAAAACTACATTTGAAAGGCAGATCCTCACCAGCAGCTGGTCCATCTCCTAGAGGAGACCATATTCGAGTGCACTTTTGGTGCACTTGCCTGAACCTGTCAGGGCACTCTATGTTAGCAGAAGAGATTTTTTGTGACGGAGAGGCAAGGGGAAGATAAATGTTCTAAACAGCTCAAATCCATTACTGTGCCAGTTCCTGTGCAACAGGTCCTGTGACAGGATGGGAACTGAGAGTGCTTGAAATTTAAAAGGTAAAGACACCAGCACAAGGTGTCATTTTGCTTTTTCAAGGAAGTGATTTCAAAATCACAAAGCCTCCCCACCATCATCCCTTGTAACACAACCTGAAAGCATCTTGATTCTGTTTTCAAAAACACAAGAGACACCTTAGAGTTCCGCAAGTTCTGCCAGGGCAGCCCTCGGTGCCCCTGTCTCCATGTCTGTCACCCTTGCTTTCATCCTCAGCCACAGAATTCTACTGTGGACAGAAAAATTGTTCCCATTTCTCCTGTACTTCTCTGGTTACCTTTTCTCTAAGCTGTGCAGGACCCACGTGAGGAGGCTGTGATCCTGTATCAGCTCAAAGGCAGCTCTGGTGACACAGGCAGCACTTTGTAATATCTCCAGAATACAACTCTGAAACAGAAAATGCAACTTGTTCTTTTACACCCAAGATCTAATTATCTAATTTAAAATCAGCAATTTGGCTGGTATCTGATCAACTTCCAGGTAAAATGAACACCACCTGTTCTCAGGAGCTCCAGAGAAGGAAAGACATTCTCCCTTCAACGCTTCATACTACCGGTGCTGCTCTTACAAGAAGTATTCAGGTAGCAAGACAATTTTCTCTTTTTGTCCAAGGTTTTGATACTTGAAATACTCAGGGTGGATGCTCCCAAACCTGAGAGCTCCTGGCATGTGAGTTTCCCTCCTGCTGAAGCACTATTCAGGTAACAAATGTGCTGGCTGGGGAATAGAGACCCCAAAAAGAAAAGGCCCTGATTGCAGAAGCAAAACCACAGCACCCATGTGAGGCTCCATGATGGCAGGAACCTGTTCTGGTTTCAGGGGATAAAGATGGGACTGGTTTAGACACAAGCAATTATTTCCCCACACACACATACACAAAACCAACAAGTTACAGATTTTCAAGCGGACCAAGGCAGAGTCAGCTGTTTCTTTCTGTTTGGTACTTGAGATCTCAAAGCCATGCAAGCTTCTGTGGTTTGGGGTTTTTTGGAACTTTCTTTTCAAATTCTTACCTGGGAGTCCTCATCACACAAAGGACTGTTGAAAAAGGAAAGAATGATCTGGAAAATCCTCTGGTAGTCATAAAGCTCATAGCAATGTTTGTCACGCAGCCCTTCCCCAAGAAATCTGAGGATCCACTCACGCTCTGTTTTGTACTGGAAGCCACAAAGAAAAATACCACTATCAGACATGTAGATATTTCCAAAGAATAACTGCTCCTAAGAGCACAAAACCCTGGTTCCCTCTGAGTGCCAGCTCAGGACTTGTCACAGCTTGTTCTGGACTTCTCCATATCCACTCCTATCAAATGTAACCACTAACAGCCACTGGGAACAGTCAGTCTGCAGCCCAAACATGCACTGGAAATGGAATTTTAGAAGTTGCTGTTTCTAAAATACTTCAGTTGAACTCAAAGTTACTAATCTAAACTCAAATAGGAATTGTAGCTAGCCAGGGCAGAATATTCTGTTTCTTGTGCTCACAGAGCATACACAGCACAACTCATTGTGCATTAGTATTAAGAAAACAACAAAAACCCCATGGAAATAACATTTTTAATTCCAATATGAAACATATGAAAGATGCTTCTAATTAACTACCTATGGGAGAATGAGGTTTCATTGTATTTTTACAGCTGTTTTCAATATGTTCCTGAAGAATTACTGGATACCTAAAATGAGACTCTTACCTCAAAATCAAAACTGTAGAAAAGCTGGAAAAAACCCGGTACCTTCCTCAGGTCCAAATACTGGTGTGACAAAAGGAATCTGTTTACCTTTATGTACATGTGCTCCTCTGTAAAGAGAAAAAGCTGGCATTGTGGAGGAGGAGAATGCTCCCAATCCACAAGCACGGATGACCATTCATGGAAACTGTGGTGAATGTGCAGTGCTCCAAGCTGGGAGAACAGCCCAGCAACTGCAGAAGGCCTTTGCTCTGAAGCTCATTCTAATTGCTGCCCACCCTCCCCTTCTCTTGCCCAGGAGGAAAGGCTCAGTCAAGAGTGCATGAGCACAGAGCAGGTGAGGAAAGCAACACTCCCCAGGGCTCTGTTTTTCACCCCAGCAGTGACACACACAGCAAGTTCCAGTACCTGGCTTCAGGATTTGCTTTGCCACACGAGCAGCGTAGAGTGTCAGGGAGAAGGTGAACCTGAGGTTTGGCTGTCTGATTCCGTTCTGCACGGCATCCAAGAGATACAGCAACTGCAAGAGCCCAGGAAGAGAAGCTGGAAGCACAGCCCAAATGAATGCAGCAGAAGCACAAAGAAATCTATCAGCTTCCAGGATATTTCATGGGCCAAACAGATCAAGTACCAATTCCATCAGGATTTCCATTCCTACATACAAAATTCCGAAGAATTTCTAAAATGTATTTTCCCTTTTCTCTGTCCATTAGTTATAACAGGAGGGAACACAAAGCAGTAGAGGAGAAACAATGGGAGAGAGGATAAAAAGCTTCTTTTAGCTGTCTCACCACAGGCATGTAGGTGGATGAGCAAGGCAACATCTCTTCCACACATGTCCATGACCTACAAGGTCTCACCTGCCAAACTAGCAATGGCTTACCTGGCTCTTCTCTTGAAAGCGAGCCCCTTCCAGATGGGAACGGAAGGAAGCCAGGACAAAATACGCAGCCGCTCTCATGTTGGAGTCGTAGCTGCTCAGGGCAGCCACTGTGAGACCCAGGGCATTGACTTCCACAAACTTGTGACATGCCACCACACACTCTGTGAGGGGATGGGGCAAGAGAAACAAAAAACAGCCAGTACTTTAGCACTGACACACCCCAGTATGTGTAACAGCACCATAATCCTTAACATTTCTGTCATGACCATCCATTTCTGGCTCTAGCCCCACAAATTATGACCTCAGTGCACAAAGGCTCCTCCAGCTGACAAAGGGCTTCAGCAATTCACTTGGAACATGAATTCTTTACCTGAGCTGAAATTTATGGGGCTGTTCTCATTTATGTGAGAAAGAGGTGATCCTGCCCACCAGGCCATGCAAAGTTAGGGGTAAATTCTGTAAAGTCATCTTTGTATCTCACTGTTTCAGAGAAGTTGAGTACAAAGAACAACAAGAGGGAAAATTTATATCTCCAGAGCATTGCAGGGTGCCTGAAAGACCAGCACTAAAAAGCTCCTGTAACAGAAAGGATGGAAGAATAACCCAAATAGCCCATAAACCACAGCAGTTGTCCCTGTGCAGGCACAAGTGACTCTTGTGGTAAGGCCTGCTCTGAGCCAAGTACTCAGCTGTACCCCTGCGCTCTACTAGGTAAAACAAAATCCAGCAATGACCAGAAATCAGACCAAGAAAAAACAGGAAACATACCCTTCAATGGTAGCATTTAGCTTTCACATAATTTTGTCATCAAGATTTGGAGTTTCTCCTTTAAGGGCTTGTATTCTATGTGTTTTGAAGGGTTGCTGCCATTTCCACTCACTAATGGCTAGAAATGACTTGCTGTGAACCTTCTACCTTATCTCCAAGAATGGAGCACAATGGCACCTCAGTGGTATTTTACCAGTTACAAATGTACCATAAGTTTAGCAATAATATTGATGTATTTTCTTGTCATTCACAGTGAAGGTCAAGAGGAAGTTTCTAGAAACAAATATTCCTATTTAAGAAGGGGCTGCAATCTTACTGCTAAGTACCTATATTTGGTCCACTGATTTCCTCCCCTATCACTGCCCACACAGACTAGTATGTGTGTAAATATGTACATATATGCACACACGTGTATATATCTATGTATGCATGTACATATAAAACTATGTTTAAAAATCACAGATTATTTCTGTCCCTGTAACAGCACCTGGACTATTTATCTCATTTTTTTGTCAACTACTAAAGAGCTACTAAAACTCAGTTTCACGCTTGGCAGTTTCTTACTGCCAGCTTTGCTGGTTATGGGCCAGGTAAAGCAGGGTCTCCACTTCACCACCAGCCACTGGCATTTGTCCCTGGGCCACCACTCTGCTCTCCTTCAGGCTGCAGCTCTGGGGAACTGCTGATGCACAGTAACCATTCACACTGTGGCAGAGTGCTACAGAATGACATCCAAAGTTCTCACTTCAGCAGTGCACAGTGGAAAACTTTCCTTCACTGAAAACATGCAGTGGGAATATTTTCCATCCTGCTGCCCCTGGAGAATGTGTTCAATAACTGACATAAAATAACAAGTTCTTATTAGAAAAGCACCCCAATTTAATTCTATGTCTGACATACATTTAAAGGACCTTGAGAACCAGGATGGAAAAGCTTTCCATAAGATGCTTATCAGAGCTAAAGATAGAACTTGCTATCCATCTACCCAACCCCATACTTACTTTTTCCTCAGCAAGCACTAAATACTGTGCAATAAGTCCATGTTTAGGTATTCTGATGGCACTTTGCAGCCAGGACAAAGAGCAATAAATAAAGAACTGGGAATTCCAAGAGCAGCTGACATGGTTTACAAGCACCATGGGACTGAGACTCATAAATCATTCAGGCCCTTTAAAAATGCCCCTCTTAGGACACAAACTCTCACTCTGTGTGGAGAAGCTAAGAGGCCTATTTTCTTCTCTCCAGGTTCAGATTCAGGACAGCCATTGTCTTTACAGCTTCACAAGAATGTGATATACAGCAATTCCCTCAGCCTTGGTGCTTCCCACAGTAGCAGCCACTGACTAGCTGCAGTGCTGCCATAGACACCAAATCCCTCCCTAAGTTCCAAAGACACCAACTGCCCATGCTCTTCCTCCCTGTGCACCTCAAAGGCCCAGCAATAACTGGATTGTCCAAGATCCCTCCAACTGCAAAATGTCAGATAGCTCTGGTACCTTTTCTCCTCAGAGGACTTAAAGACAGCTCTTTTCCTCCTGCCAGGATAACCCACAGCGCTTCAAACCATACCTAAGGAGAGGCTAAGCACATCCAAACAGATGCTGTACTTGCAGGGCTCTGAGTGAACAAAGGACTGTGAGTGTGATTTCACTGACACACCAACAGCCTGCCAATTGCTTCTAACCCATTATTGCTTTGGAAAGCCAAATCTAGCTGTAATTACACAGTGTTTAACCATAACCAACACAGGGAGAGAGCTGATTAGGAAATCCCTTAGGCTTCTTGTCTCCCTTTGACCTCTGAGAGCTCTCTCTGGGGACAGTGTGTCCATGGAGCACAGCAGGGATGTGCACGTACAAAGCCCAGTCATGTCAGACAAGAAACTTGCTGACAGTTCAGAGCACCAGCCTATTTGTGAAACATACTGGCCTCAAGCCCATCTGTCTGGTGGAAAATGAGTTGGCTGAAGTTCCCCTGTTCTACAACCACAGCCTGTAACAGGCCAGATCTCCAGCCAGCTCAGTCACACCCCTCACAGTAGTTTTTGTTTCTTCCGTCTAAAGTCAGGCACAAATTCCTTGCAGTATTAGCTGTCAGATCAGAGATAACAGCGGTCCAGGCACAGCTCCTGCAGCAGAGCAACCTGACACTAAATACCAAAGAGAAACATTCACTTTACCTGGTCTGGTTAGTTCACTGAAGAGCGGAAGTAGAAAACAAGGATCATAGAAGTCATCAAGGTTCTTCACTGTTTCATCTTTATATAGTGACTCCTGTATTCCCTGAAACCAAGTCTAAACCAGTATTTGTAAGGAACAACACCAATTTCAAGCTTTGTTTCAAACTTCCACAACCACCTCATCCCACTATAAACCACTTGATACTACACCTTATAAAATACAATGCAACACAGGGTGAGACGTGCTTGTGTTTAAACCCAGCTTTCACTATGAGAGTATATCCACAACTATTTCCCTGACCAGCATCAACAACTACAGAAGCAATACAGCAAACTGTAAGAAAGGCTGGAGAGCCCACTGCGAGTGGATCCTTGGGCTGTCCAATCCTGGTCTCACATACATGGCAACCTCTGCAATGCACTATCACCCCTGCTGAAAAGATGTGGCCTGTATCTTGCAATTACTTTGAAAAGTGCTCTTGAAGAACACATTCTTCCTATGAATCAAAATTTTGATGGAGATTCTGGAATTCTGAATCTCTCCTGATGGAAACAAACTGACGTGTATTACACAGCTGCAAGACATGAATGGCTCAAGGGTCTTCCTGCATATCCAAAGAAGGGTCACCATGGAGAAGCTGAACCAAAAGCACCTGTGATGGCAGCAGCTGGCGATGCTGAGGGTATGACAGAATCGTCTTCATCATCTTCTCTTGATCCAGCAGACACAGAATCTCCTCCATGCTTGGCTGCTGCCACAAGGACTTCCCCAGACTCTTGCAAGTCTTGTGATGTTCCACAGCAGCTGGACCCCACAGCAAGATCCTTAAACATTGTTAAAGGCAAACAGATTAGGCAACAGAACCAAAAGCAATTACAGAGGAGATCACTTAGTACCAAAATTTTGTCTTCACTCATAGTTAGTACCCTGCGGGACTTGACACTGTAACTTGGTTTCCCTGGCAACACCTTTTCCATCCATCCCAAAGCTTTTCAAATTTAGTTTGAGTGTGTCTCACTCATTCTACCCTCCCCTGTTCATCAAGTCAGAATGTACCCACTCAGAGGCACCTATGGATTTAAGCTGTAAGTGCAGGTAAGAATGACAGCAGCTGCATAAAGGGACAGGAATCCAGACCTGCCTCAGCTGCCTGAGTCAGTGCTCTTGCACTGCTGGAGGCATTTCTGCTCCTGCCTCCAAGACAGCAAAGAGCCTGTGAGGAAGGCAGACCAAACCACAATTGTTGCCAACAGACCTTTGTGTGGACTGCTGGGGCACAGGAAAGTCCACTAGTGACTTATGTTTCAGCCTCCCATCTGTGAGAAGACCCCTATAGTGAATCCCAGTTATGGAGAGTGAGTGACTCCAGAAATGAGACAGTCCCTCATCTAACCCCCAAACACACAGAAGTCTGGGCAACATAAGAGAATTACATTAAGAATAGAAGTATGTAGTAAAAGTGTTTCCAAAAGCAACACTCATCTTTAGGTTTCACCTTGTTCACTGTCTCCTTCATTTAAAAATGAGACCCTGGAAAAATACCAGTTGTGAGACTACCTATATGTAGTTTGCCCAACCAAGTAAGGTGTTTAGCTTACCTGGAGTTTATAAGACTTTGATTATTCTTCTCATACAACTGAAGCAACAGCAGTATCTTCTGATCTAAAACCCAAGATTTAACCCAAAGTTAGTGACCTATGGACACAAGAACAAGATGCAGGAGGAAACGCCTATCCAGGCTGACACTCACCCACGGTGCTCAGTGTGGCCCCATAGGCTCCCAGCAGCACTGGTAGGTGACTGCTCTCACACAGAGAGGGGCTGAGCTTCACAGCTGTCAGCAGAATGTCCACCAGCGCCTCTGGAACAAGCACAGCTTGAGCCAAGCTCTCGGTCACAAAGAGCACAAAGTAACACCCCAAGACCCACTCCAAATGGATGCACGCACAGCAGCACTGGACACTTTACACCAGTATCTAGCTCTAGAGATACCGCAGACCATATCCCCAATACACTAAAGCGTGATTTTGATGTATTTAATTAAATAAATAAATAAAAGGAACATCTCAAAACAGTATTACCAAGACAAACACAGAAGTCACTGAGGCAGGAGAGGTCCCCATGGTGGAACACACTGCTCTGCAGAAGCTTTCCATGCGCACACAACTGCTCTCTGGTTAAAGAGGAGTGCTGTACCCTATCCTTCAGTCCTTCTTCCCCCAGGGGGAATCTGGAATGAGCTCAGGAGTTGCACAGAGAAAGGCAGACAACCCAGCAACCTCCCCAGGGACTCCAGAATTCACAGCAAAACACTTCTAAAGTCTGCACCCCAGCTGCAATAAATACCTAAATGCTTCTGCACTGTACGTCTCAGCAGGGCTCTGCACTGTGGGTGGTTTTTGAGCCACAGGAACCCTGTCCTGTGGGGTACAAAAATTATCCACCTTTGCTCTGTAACTGAGAAGCAGAAAGTGTGATTGGGCTCCTCAAAAACAAAGAGGCCATCTGTAGCACACTCAAAACTCAACTCCAGATTTCTCAACTCCGAGTATCTGAAAAGGCCTGGGCTTTGACCCTAGTTATGTGCAGGAATATTTTCAAAACACCATCAAAACTTAAGAGTTCCCAAAGTACCAGCCTGAGTGAACGCACTCCTGACACCAAGCTTCTGCACTACTGCAGCTGGCCTCAAAGAATCCATCCTGCTGATCTACAGAAATACACTCTAAAGATAAGACACATACCTACAGCAAGCAGCAAAATCTATTCCTCATTTTTAATTTCACTAAATTGGTGACTTCACAAGAGCTTTTTTCTTTTCAGATATTTCAGAACTTGAAAGTTTGTTTACATGTTCCTCATCAATAAACTAAAAAATTGCTAGCAACATGGTGTCCTGAAAATTTCACCTCCCTTTTCTTATACAACTCTTTCAATCACTGAATCTCAAACCCCTGTACAGTGGAGAAAAGCTGAGGTCTATGTAGATTAAATGTGGTTCAAGGTCAGGCAGGATTTCAGTTGCCAGTGAAGAAGAAATAATGCCAATTCTACACATGAACTAGCATCCAATTTATATTCCTCTGGAAGGATATTCCTCATGAAAGGTAATATGAAATACATGTAATTTAAATTGCCATTTTTGATAAAACTTGCAAAATCAACTTTAAATCTCCTGTATCAACCTATTTTAAAACAGGGTTAAACATCACAGGATCTATGTGCACTTCAGTGATCTTACACTAAGTGCCTCACAGAAACCAAAAGAATAAATCCAAGACTTCAACTGGGTTAAAAATACCAGAAAAACAAACAAACAAAAACCCAAACCAAAATAAAAACCCAAACTCACTTTTCCAGTAGTTTTAAAAACAGAAGTCTTTAAAACCAGCATAAAATGAATGTAACATTTCAACCCAAGCAGAGGTACAATTTAAATGCCAGTATTCTGGAACTGCTAATAACTCTGCAAGTATTTACATGGGTGGGTGTGTTACTGGATGGAGAGAATATAATACAAGAAAGAAAGATTAGCTGTATTTAGTATGGGAAGAAGATGATTAAAAAATACCTCTTGTCCCTCTTGTCTGGATGTTCATGCCATCTTCTTCTCTTGACCTCAGAATGGCTGACAAAAATAAAGAGTGCTGTGTGACCATCATGTGAAGTTTTGAGAGCTTGAATAAGCCCCTACTAAGTGAGGGTTCTTTCTTGTATAGTAACTGGATGGCAACGTTTAGGACCTTCAGAAACGTTTCATCTCTGTAATGGTACCTTTGGGAGAAGGATCACAGAGAAGTCAGATCATATCCAAACCCAAGGAAACCTTGAAATTAAAAGTTGGTTAAGAAATGAGAACTTGGCAAAGACAATTAACTTAGTAAAACCAAACCAAATTCAAATGAAAACACTTACTTGAGCCCTGTCTTCACAAGATTGCACCAGTCATCTGGGTCCACTTCTTCAACCACACACTGTGTGCAGCAAGTAAAAACAGGTTTTGGTTTACATTTGGCACATGGAGCTTCTACAGCTATTTTTGTTCAAGGGACACACTAAGAACATGCAAGCCAAACACTCATGTGGGATGATCAGAGAATAACAGGGAAAAAAAAAATCTTGAATACAACAGTCCTAATTCCTGGTTCAAAGGAAACTTGTTGGTCTGGGAGCAGGGGCTGTATGGAATTAAAAAGCAAGCTGGGCTGTAGATTCCAAAAACCCAGTGGCTCAAAACTCTTCAAACTCCTGAAGTGTGAAGGGAATCACAACTTGACAAGTCAAAGCAAGAGACTGGGTACCAGGTTTTTATGTGCTTTAGCTAATCAAGCTTTGCACATGGCACAGGGGGTGGCTGGGACAGGTGGTCCTTACAACTAATGTGCCCTGAAGAGCTGGGAACCACAACAACCCAGTCAGCCTGGAGAAGACTGACAGCTGCACATCCCAACAGTCCTGGTAATGCAGGTGCCAACCTCACCAGGCTGGAAACACCCTCAGGATGGGATGAACGCTGTGAGGTGGCCCCAAGGCCTGCAGAGTCAGCCAGGTCCTACAAGGCAGTCTCAGCAAAAGCCATGAGAGGGCAAAGGCATTCACTGCTCAGAGACCTTCAGTGTTATGTGTCACAGGGATCCATGTTCACTAAACTCAAACCAAGGGAACAGTACAGAGGGAGTAACCAAGTAGTGTTCTTCAAGATAAAGTTGGGATTTCTATTCACAATCAACCAGACTTTTGCCCCAGACTTCAGATGGCATGGCAGATGGGTCTTGGCAGAAGTATCTCTACTACCTTCTTTTAAAAAACAAGGTGATAACTTTAATTTTAAAAGTTAAATTAATTAATTTATAATAATTAAATTAATTTAATTTTTTTTTTAATTCCACTGGTAACCTTTGATTTCTTACTCCTAAATACCTTAAACTCCTATCTTCAAAGGGGATTTGTACCAGAAAGCCATCATCAAGAACATAAAACTGCTTCATATAAAGTATTATCAGGACTCTGAGAAAGCTATTAGAAGTCCATGGAAACCATAATCCATAAAACAAGAAATCAAGTCCAATCTGTATTTACAAAATCTACAACTGCCCAATTGTGGGAATTCAGGGCATCCCTCTGGCTGCCCTGGAAGGTCTGGGACCCTGGCAGGGGGTCAGAAACCCCCCTGTACAGAGTCCCGACAGGCACAGTCTCTGATCTCTGTCCATGGAAAAGAGTTTTCAATCTTACAGGATGAATTACCAGCTCTGAGTGTTTGATATAAGCAATAATTAGTGTGGCATGGGTGCAAAAGTAAAATTTTAGGATTCTAGATAAGGGGTCTAAAGGGGACAAGATGGAGGAAATTGGGTGTGTCCCATCCTTTTTCTTCTTCTTCATGTCTTCCATGTTTTACTGTGGTGTTGGCATTTTTCTATTTGTTTAGACTGGGGACACACTGTTCAACGTAGGTGACAGATATTGGCACGTTATTGTAAATATAGCACAGGTAGTTTCTGTTGTATAATGTTTGTAACATCCCACTGAGGGCAGAGCCCCACACGCTGCCCTGCAGGACAGACCTGCGGCAGGGCAGCAGAACGTGTTATAGATAAGCAAGAATAAACAGCACAGACAATTTACAACTTCTTCTTTGGCAGCAAGGCTGAAAAACAGAGACTTTCTACAATCTCAGAATCATCTAAATACCACAGATTCTATCACGCAATCACACATATGTATACAGTCCCACAGTGGCAAAGCAGATAAGAAGTCTCACCAATAATTCCTCTAGCCTCAGCAGCATGGACCTCTCCACTTCTTGCTTGTTCTCATCTCTACTGCTGCTGTACATGGAAACTAACCCCTTTATGCAGGAAGACAAGAGATGTCTCCTCCAGGAATTCAGCTCCCCTGAGTTTTTAAGCACTGTGGATATGGCATCTGCTACGGCCCAGCTGCAGAGAGATAGTTGTTGATTTTTTTATTATTATTTTAACTTGGTTTTGTATATTTTAAAGATGTTTTGCTGCCAAAGTGCAAAGCAACAGATTCTCTGAGGAGAAGATGCTATTACTCCTCCTATTCCTATCACAGTGCTTCCCAGGACAAACTGAGCCCTGGGGCAGGCGCACACACTGCCCACCTCACTTCATTCCCTGCTCTCTCCAGAGCAGCAGGAAGGCAGTCCATTAAGTTGTGCAGCCCTTTGCTTCCCAGAGGTGGCAATAGCTTGGAAAGAATTTGCAGTTTCACAGTGGCCTCAGGCGATGCTTCAGTGTCCTGAATCCCAGCACAGAGATCCTTCCACAGAACTTTCCTCAGGACAGGTGTGACAGCCAAGACAACTGTGGGGAGAGCAGAAGGCATAGGTTCCTCCACCGGCAGCTGTTAAACAACACACTAATCCCACATCACTTTCTAATCCAGGCCCAGACTACTCAATTTCTAGGAAATGACGCTACAGCAGTTGCTAATCTGTTACAGAGAAGTGCTACACAGAGGCTCACTTCTTTACCCATCCTCTACTTCTGAGTGTGCTGACAAGGCCTTATCGCTGCTTGACCTTGTAGGTAGAATTACAGCCCCAGTCAGCCTGTTTCCTTTGATATTGACATTTCTGGGCAATAAGAGAAACTAAATTAAAGTGATCCAGTTCTACCCAGTTGAATCCTAACTCATCGTTTTCCTGGTAGAAATTTAACACACTTGTCCATAGATGTAATGCTGCTGTGAGTTTGAAAAGTTCTGGACTGCCAGCTCAGAAGGACCTTACTGTAGCCAGCCTACAGCTGGAGATTTGTTTTAGAACAAATTTTTGGACTCTGTAACAGTGAAAGCTCAGGTTCTGCAAAAACCATCTGACTGTGGCATTGCACGCTCCAGGACTCTTCTATCTGTGCCTGAGCAAAAGGTTTTCCTGCCTGTACTAAACCAAAAGAAGCACAATAATAGATTTTCACATGCACTAAGCATTAAATAAGGGCTTCAGAAGAGAAATCTGGGCAGCAGTAACTGCGAGAGCACTTGGCTTCAGTCTAACAGCCAACCCTCAGAACAGCACCTTTAGTGCTGCAGAGGTACTTCCAAGACAGTCATTAGAGGTCAGACATCTAAGTTTTATACCTTTATCTTTTCTGCAAATATTCCAGCAGAATCTAAACAAGGAATGTGGCCTCCTGAACCACAAGCAGGGCTCAGCAGTGCCTTTACCTGTGGAAGGTCGGCTGAAACCATACTGGTCTCTGCATTGCAAGTACACATTAATGAGCGGAAGAAAGCTCGCCATGTGTTTCCTGAGGTACTTCCCAGTGGCACTACTCAGACACCAGAGCTCAAACTGCAGCAGGTGAGTCCTGGAGTGCTGGATCAGCACGGCCACAATGGCCAGGGAGGTGTGTGAGCACTGGGCAAGGCAGTGAGTCTGAACCTCAACATCAACTGCAAGAGCAAGGACAGGCTCACTTTGGAGAGCCTGAAGGAAAACCTCCTCCAAATCTTTGTTGGCCGATGCTGACATCAAAATCCCCAAAGCTTTAATATGCTTTGTGGATAGCAGAAATTCTCCTTGCTGGGGACGCCTTTGGTAGCTGTCTGTAAGGAGCTGCACCAAAATTTGTCCATAGAAGTTTAACTGTTTCCCTTTTTTAGGCGATTTTTCAGATTTCTGATCAGTCAAGCTCATCTCAGGAAGTTGCAGCATGGTTAGAGTGATCTCCTTTAGCTGAGCTGCAGTCATGTACATATGGAGCTTCTCCAGAGCCTGCAGCTGGTGAGATTTCGTGGGACAGACCTGGCTTCTGTCCTTCCCCACAGTCTGCAGCTCTTCCAGGACACTTTTGGTGATAGTTTCGAAATACTTGGACAACACGTGTCTGTGATCCGTTGTGATGCTCTGCACAATGGGGGCACCTGTTTTCAGCAACTGGAGCACCCCAGAATTGAGGTGAGCTGACAGGAGCTTCACAGTGACAGGGTTCAAACCAGGCTGAGGAATAGAGTGCAGCTCCAAGGCCAGGAACCAGCTCTCCAGCGTAGGATGTCTGAAAATCAAGGTAAGCGTATCCTCCAGTGTCTGTAACAAGGAGAGGAAACAGTATCAATGAATGGATAATCACACTGCAGGGTAAAAAAAACTTATCTGCCTATTTTCCACAGCTTGTCAATTACAATTATTGACCATTAAATTGTCTACTAGCTGGTCAGAGGATAAAAAATACTAATTTATTACAAGCACATAAATATCATTCTCCCAATATTTATGCTGTTATACTGAATATTCTAAATATGTCTAAGCTCATCTCCAGAGGAAAACAATGTTCTAGGGTTCATCAACACATTCTAATCTCCACAAATTCACAAAACAGATGAAAGAGGAGGAAAATTCATTCCTCAAGTACATCATTTTCACAACAAGGCTTTACACAGGGCTGAGGAAATAAATTTTTTTCCGCAAAGGTGATCTCTTTCAGGACCTCTCCTGTGTTCCAGCTCAGGGGTGAGACTGTGGGTGATGCAGCTGGGTCACATCTCCAGACAGTAGTTTTGCAACTGCTGGACCACATGCTCTCCGTTCCTAAATTTTCCTCCAAGACTTTAACAACATCTCTCTGTTCAGCCAAACTATTCCCTAGAGAATCAATCAAATAAAAGTTTACTAATAGGTGCCTCTGTACCAAGGGATTTGGTACCTTGTCATTTGAAGACACTTCTGTTATCAGAGACTCCTCATCCATAAAGAGATCAGATTCAGCCTGATGCTCTTCCTGCTTCTGTTGATTCAGCTTTATTTTATTTGCCCGGCACAACAAGATGCTCAGAATGTCCACATAGAGGTCAATGAGCTGAGGACCCAAAGTTTTACCAACCTATGAAAAAAAAGCCATCTTGGAAGTGAAGAAAAGACGAGAATGGGACCAGAGGGACCAACAGGAATAGGCGTTAACTAAGAACTACTTAGATTACAACCTCTTCTTGGGGAAGGAACTGCTTCCCTATGTAGAAACCTGATTCTAAGTGAAGTCTCAGATTGCCAAATAAATAATGATAGTTTTTCATTTATGCTATGACATTTGGAGTTACACAAGCCAGTGAATTTTACTCTCTGGAAAGGCTTCTCAGGGAGATCCATGAGTTGGATTAAAATCTTGAGTTTATTTGCACTCACACTGATCAGAAAGGTAACCCATGCAAAGTAAATCCAACACTCTTCAATAATCAGAACTGACATTTGTTTACAAATTAGGTGCAGTTTTGTATGGTGCTGTGTACCCTCAGAGCCAAGTAGAGAAAAAAGTGCTACATAACTGGAACCTAAGTTTTAACAGCCAAGTCATTTGTACCCACTACCATAAAATTAGCCAAACATAACCACAATATTATTACAATATTGCTCTTACACTGCTGAAATTCTCCACTGTGGATTTCAGGTACAGCAGCACATGCTTTACTCCCAACAAAAGCTGGTCAGGTAGGAGCCAAGAAGCCAAGTCTCTCAATTTTGTCTGAACACCATCTTCCAGTAAGGTACTGCTTCCTCTCTCATAGGCTCCCTTCAGCAAAGTGGCAAATACAGAATCCAGTGACACAGTAGGTTCTTTGCTTACCTCCTTGTGGTTTTTAAACGGTTTAAAGTGAAAAAAAGCATAAGAGAAAAACAGTGGTGAGTATGAAACAAAAATCTCTTCAGCCACCTTTGTTTTGAGATGAGCTCTGAGCTGAAGCTCTAGCAGCACAAGTGTACAGTCCTGTTAGAACAGAGCTGTCCAGCAGTGTCCCCAGGGGAATCTGTAATGTTCACTGCTGAACTGAGAAAAATTCACCAAACCCAGCCCAGGGGCCTGTGATCCTCCACCCACCCAGGGGAACTCCAGGCACTGTAAATGGAGGCCACAGCACACACCAGGCTCTGCTGTGCCTAGTGAGGAGTCTCTGTATGATCCCTGAGCCCTGGTATCACCTCCCAAACACCACAAAGACCTCTTGTGTCATCAGATAAAAGCCCTGGAGCAAATGTTTGTCCCAATGTGATCAACAAGAAATGCAGAATTAGCTCAATAAAAATGCTGTTTGTGATGGAAATGTAACCTCTATAAACTGTGAGGTTTTTATAGGAATACTGGCTCAAGTACTCAGTGACTTCAGGTATTCCATACCACAGGTTCCTGGAGCTGCTTGGGTATCCAAAGTTTATAGTATCGGCTAAACTGGTAGAGCTGAGGATACTTAGCAACTTTCAGGGACTCAAGATGTTTGTCATAGAGCTGGAACATCAAGCAGAGAGCAAGGGGTTCTCTCTGAGAGTGTAGGAGGTCAGTGAAAACAGCAACAAGATACTCCACGATGTGTGCTCCTAGAAAAGCAAAATAAATTAAACTATTGACATGAGCACGGACACTGGGAAATCTTCCTTACTTTGGGCCTTGGCAGCAGCCCACAGAGCATCATGCAGAAAAGAACTGAATAAGATCAAAAAGTGTTTGTAGTAACCTAGACACATGTTCCTGACCACTGAGGTACCTGAAAAAATCCTCCAGACATCAGCTCTTGCTGAAGCAAATAATCCACCTTCACTGTGTTGTGCTAAACATGCCTGTCTCTTAACAGGGTCTCAGAGACCCTGCCAAGCACCACCTCACAGAAGAACTGAGTTGTACTGGGGGGACACACCCAGTTAACGTGTACAAGTTAAACAGAATTTTCTGTCAGAACTGGGACTTTCAGTACACCCCAGGTGCTACTTGACTGCCAAATACACAAAGAGGGCTTAGTGAGGTGCTGTGGGGTTGGCCAATCCTGCTCCAAGCCCACCTGATGCCCCTGTGGTTTTAACACTTTCCTCAAGGCGGTGGTAGAACTTTGCAGTATTTGTTCCGCTAGAGCTTAATTTCTGAATTTTTCTTTGGGAAATGCATCCATTTCCTACTTAACAATGCAGTCCTCTCTCCCTGATCTCAGGAAGAGCTGCCTACAGGCATGGAAACCACCTTCCTCTCCTGATCTCCACACTCTGTCCTTAAAACACTGTGTTACTGAAGCCAACTACTTCCAGACCAAGACTGTCCATGCAGGGACAGTGTCACATCCCTATAGGGTCAGGGAAAAGGGCAGAAGCACCTACAGACTACTAATGCTTCTCTTGAGCACGAAACACCACAAATCTGCACTTCCTTCTGCTTGCAGGGAAGCTAATAAAATATCTCAAGGTAAAAAATGATTAATGGTAAAAAATTATTACAAATGGGTAAAAATGATGCCACTTTCACTCCACTGGTAGAAATGACACATAAAACATAAAAAAACTGTACCTGTTCTGTTTTCAGACTGAAGCAACAGTATATTTCTGGCTTCTAATGCAGCAGGGACAACAGCACTGAAGGGAAATGTTTGGATAATAATGTTTTCATTTAAAGAGATCCCAATTTCTTCATCTAAGCCACCACTGCCCTCAATCAGAACATCCACCATATCCAGGGCATCTAATAAGTGAAGGAAAAAAATGTAAGCAGAGTATCCAGACTGACTAACTGGAAAAACAACAAAGGTAGAATGCAACACTCCAGGAACACAAGGTATCTTTTTAGTACCAAAAAAAAAAAAAAAAAAAAAAAAAAAAAAAAAAAAAAAAAAAAAAAAAAAAAAAAAAAAAAAAAAAAAAAAAAAAAAAAAAAAAAAAANAAAAAAAAAAAAAAAAAAAAAAAAAAAAAAAAAAAAAAAAAAAAAAAAAAAAAAAAAAAAAAAAAAAAAAAAAAAAAAAAAAAAAAAAAAAGGCACATTTGTCAAGCAATAGAATGTTAAGTGCAGCACAAAAAACACAGCTGTAGTTCACTCTGCCTTTTAATGCTGCTGTCTAGCACAGGTTGCCCCAAGAAGCTGTGGCTGCCCCTGGATCCCTGGAAGTGTCCAAGGCCAGGCTGGACAGGGCTTAGAGCACCCTGGCATGGTGGAAGGTGTCCCTGCCCATAGCAGGGAGTGGACCTGGATGAGCTTTAAAAAAAGGTGCCTTCCCATCCAAACCCTTCTGGGATTCCATGTTTCTATGAAGAGCTCCATGAAGAAGGACTAAATTTCCATTTTAGTTCGAAAATGCTGCTGCAAGAGCATGAAGAGAGATTTTAAAGTGGCACAACCACATCAAAGATTACATTTGGGGGTAAAGTGGTAACTTTGCAATTCCAACTTCTGATACCAAGTACATATGGAGGGCTGAATCCTGGAGGTCCTTACGTAACAGGATTTCTATAGTTATCCATCCCCAGTTTGCTGCTTAGGGTTAGAAAATGTAGCCCCAAGTTGTGGAATTCTGGTGTTGGGGTTACCACATACCATCAATGTGAGAGACAGGGATGCTGATGTTATCAGAGTCCTGTTGAAACTTAGCAACCTGGAGCATGCTGGCTTCCTGAACCAGGTCTGCTGCCTTGTCTGTGTAGGGGTAGGGCTTTGTCATCAGCTTCAGCAGGATCTGTCAGCAAAGGTGGAGAGAAAAGGCAGTGCACTGGCTGTCAAGTGTAGGGGAACCATGGGCTGCTAAGGAAGACCATGTGCTAAAAGTGGTTGGAAGCTGGGCAGGATTTAGGAGGACAACTTACATAATACTTCTGGCAGGATTCTATCTATGGCTCATGCTCTACAGGGGACACTGAGGGAAAAATAAAAGTCCACTGGCATCTAGATTGCTACCATAGACTGAGTCCTGGGAGACCGCACTGGAAATGAAGCACTGGGCATTCAACATCGTGAAGACTAAAAAGGAAGTGTCAGCTTTCCTTGTAAAAGACTATAATCTACTGAGATCTGGTACTTTTGGCACCTAAAGAGGAGATAAAAGCTATACACACATACAACACTCAACCTTTATACCAACAATGCCATAATAACTGATTATTTTATTTATTTAATTTTCCTACAAATTATTTTGCTGTCCCTCCCATTGAAGACAAGAATGATGCCACCTCTGTATAAAGAATCCCAAACAATGCTTTTCTCAGAATTCATTCACTGGTCTTTGACAGGTTTCTCAACAATAGCAATAAAATCTCTAGTTTCCACTAACACTGTTCTTTGCATTGTTTATCTAGCTAATTGGAACACTGTTACCCTTTCCAAAAACTGAATCACTGATTCCTTTTGGTCTTCTTTTGTATTATCCAAGTGTTCCAGCCAAACGGAAAGTTCCTTCCATGTGTACTCAAACACTCCACTGTCACGTAAAACCTGTCCGGGAAATAAAGGGGGAGGTGTGTAAATAAACCTCAAAACACCTAAAATAAAAAAACCCCAAAAGATATAGATCTTTTTGTATAGTAACTTCATGATTCCTTCTTTTGTGAAAGAAAAGAAGAGCAGGTTGATGAAAAGAAGTCTATGTCACTCTCCTCACTCCCTCAGTTCAAGAGGCCTTATTCCCACTCACTAGGGGGACTTCAACTGCATAATGGACAATAAAAATCTTCTATAATTTCTGGAAAGCAGATTATACTGCTTTCAGAGGGTTGTACATCTTTATATCATCACAGGTGGAAAAATAAAAGTGCCTTAAAAATAGCCTGTAGGGGAGATTTAGAAAACTATTGATCTAACATAAAGGAAAATCACTGCTAAATTAAATCTAAATCAGGCTACCTGTACATAAAACAATTAGGCAGATGGATAAACAGTCAGGTAAATGAGCAGTGACCACAGCAAGGTCCAGAGAGAAGTGCAAGTTGCAGGGAATGGTGAGGTAGGCCCATATATACCACAACCAAGAGACAAGCTTTGACATATTTAGAAATTATCTCCACTTTCCTGCTCTCTAAATTCAGGCCTTGACCTCAGGCACCCAAACTAGCAACTTGGTGACCCTGTGCTCCAGCTCCACAAGCAAGAAAGGAGGAGGGAGAAGAGGGGAGGGAAAATCGAAGTAACACCATAGTTAAACTCCCTGCCCCTAACTGTCAACAAGAGAGGAAACTTTGCCCAGCTTCCTGACTCTGGCACCCACATTAAACGACTGCAATTACACAGGATGAATCTGTGCCTTTGCTCCTTTGCACACACAAAATAAAAGGAAGCTATCACAACTCATTTGTTCTACATTTACGCTGTGTACAACACCAGCAACTCATTTAAAAATAACTGCAGCTTACATGAATCTGACAGGGTAATTCATTTAAATAAAGAAAAAATTAAGGGAAAATGATTCATTTTAATGTAATTTACTATTTTTGGCAGAGTCTTGAAATAGAAATGCACTTGCAGCTCTCCCAGAAACAGGCAGGAACAGAATGTGAAATCCAAAAACAAGCCTTCAGTCACATGGCACTGCACAGAAAAATAAGTCCTTACCATCTATTCTTAGCAGCCTTTCTGCTGACATAACTGCCCTAACTTCCCTGCTCCTGCATTCCCTTCAGACAGAATGCAATGGATTAAAGTGGAAAGTGGACACAAGAACAAGTAAGGCAGTCCATGTTCCCACTTGGAAAAAGAAATTCTAAACCACCAGAAAAACTGCACATTTTGAGCAGGTTTTGGTTCAGACATACATGACTGGGAGACCAAAAGAACCTGCCTTTAAACCCTTGCAAGGGTCAAGGGCAACTAAACCCCAATTCAATCACTGTAACTTTGGTCTGGTGGACTGAATATTAAAATGGCACTTGCTAATTTGAGATAAGTGCAAAGATTCACTGCACAAAGCTAGGTACAAATTGCTGTGCCATGAATACTGCAGGATACTGCATGAAGAGCCCTGTCCAGGGCCAGTACAGCTTCCTGGATTTTCTCTTGGCAGGACATTTTGGTTAGGGTTGTATTTATTCCTTATAAATAAATAAAACTCTACCCCTACTCAGATAACTAAAAGATGCCCTCTTTTAATAAGGTGCTAAAAAAAACAGCCTCTGGTGGACTTGTAGTTGACCAGTTTTTCTGGAAAGTCAAATAACTAATTTAAATGTACAGAAGGGGATTTTAATTCATTTTTAAGACAGAAAATACTCCTGGCATCAAAGCTTGTATCAGACAGTAACAGAGAGGATTATTCTGCAGGGCCAGAGCAAACCATCTAAGGCTTATATTAGGCTGGAGTGCTGAAGTACAAATTAAATAAACAGTGATAAAAAATAAAACTCAAAAGTAATCTCTTCTTAATCAATGTCAAGACCTTTGCAAGCATAAACTGCATTAATTTATTACAGTGACAGAATTAATTCAGCCTGGGGGAAGTGGGCAAACATTAAAGATATTTTCCTTACTTTTTCATCAACTGCTGCAGGGAAGTCAGTTCACAGCATTTATTTCCATAAAGTAGTTTGCTAATAATCAGTTATCTGACAGCAAATTCCAACAACAGTCAGAAGAAACTTGAAAGAAGACTCTATGGCCATAGAACCAAGCAGTAAAGATATCTGCTTAAAAAAAAATTTTACAATCCTGAAATTTCAGACCACTGGGATACAGTGAACATCCTGAAATTTCAATTCAAATGCTTATTGTAGCAGGATTTCTGAGAGGACATGATTTAGATTTAGAGTGAAGGTTGAGCTACCCCCAGTTTACGACTCAGATAGGCCTCGGCGAGGCCTTTGAAGCTTATGACGCAGTAAGAAATTAGTTTGTGGCGCAGTTAGAAATTATGTTAAGGTGAACACAGTGCAATGAGCTTTCTGGGTGTGAATTAGTATAGGTCTGCAGGGTGAAACTTTAACTACCTGTCGTGGTTTGACACAAAAAGAATTTTCTTGGAAGGAAGAGGTCAATTTGGATATTGACCAATTGAAGGTGGACACGCCTCTGAGAACACAGAGCGGTTAAAAGCAGAATTCCCAGGAGAACTCACTCTCTTTTTGGTTCTGGTCAGCGTGCAGTGCAGGACTCTCTCCTGCCCGGCAACGATCTGGGTGGGGAGGGGAAGGCCCATGGCCTGAGTGAGGTAGGCCCAAGGGTGGAGGGACTGGAACCGGGCTGGCCCCCTGCAGATGGAAGGGTGGAGAAATCTGGGATGTCTCCATTCCCCCTCCCCCACAGAGTCGAGGGGGGGGGGAGAGAGAGAGAGAAAGAAAGAGAGAGAGAAAGAGAGGGGGAGAAAGAGAGGGGGAGAAAGAGAGGGGGAGAAAGAGAGGGGGAGAAAGAGAGGGGGAGAGAGAGAGGGGGAGAGAGAAAGAAAGAAAGAGACAGCGGCAGTTTTATCAGCAGTTCACTGCGGGGAAGAAAGAGCTGGGGGGGGCCACAAGGTGCCCAGCTGCCTGTGGGAGTCGGAGAATCTGGGCATTGAGCCATCCCTGGGATTCGGGACTTTTAACCCTTCCTGAGAAATGAAAGCTTTGTGAAATTTTTCTCCTCCTTGGTTTGAAAGAGAGGAAGAGAGACAGCTTGGACCCTGGGATGTTAGAAGGAGGAATTCTAGATGGGGGGGATGATGGAGTGGCTTTTGGCTGGACTTTTTCCTTCGTAGCCATAGGCAGAACCAATCTTCTCCTCCAAGAGAGACTGTATTTTAGGAGGATGCCAGTGAGCCAAAGAGACCTGCTTCAGCTGGGAAAAGACAGAAGTGGAGCAAACAGAGGAAAGTTAGGGGGTTTGTGGTGGTGCCCCCTGTCCTCCAAGAAGAAGAAGAGATCTCTGTTCTTGGACCCTTGGCCCCAGGGGAAAATGGGTGGGGACTGTGGTACCAAAAAATGAAACATTGAACTGTTGTTTTTTCCCCTCTTGGCATGGCATTCTTGAAAGGAAAAATCCTGGAAGCAGTGTGTCCATCCATGCATTGGTGGTGAGAGCACTGTGCATGGAAAGGAGAAGGGTCACCATGGCAAACTTTTTCTCCGGGCGGTGCCATGTGTGACATGGAAACACATGATGTGGCAGCTGTCTTTCTTGGTGAGGGCTGTGGTACAGGAGACTCCTCTCTCCCTCGATGGACTGGGTATCGATTCTCTGGAGGGTGGAAACCTGATTGGGGTCCAGATTGTGTCTCGCTGTGGTTTGTTGGAGTTGGGTGGTGGGAGGAGGAATGCTTTGCAAGGTTTTCATTTTGATCTTTTTGTGGGGTTTTTTTCCCTTTCTTTTTTTCTTTTATAGTAGTAGCTTAATAAAGTTTTCTTCCTGTTATTAAGCTTGGGGCTGCTTTGCTCTGTTCTCGATTGCATTTCACAGCATTCAATAGAGAGATTGCATTTTCATGGGGGCACTGGCATTGTGCCAGTGTCAAACCATGACACTACCTTAAGACAAACAATGTTTGCTTGCCAATGAGAGTGTGCTCACAATTTTAAACTATACTGAAGCGTATATAAACTGCCATCTTATAAACAATAAAAGGAGAACGTATGATTAACCATATTGGCTTGATCTGCATTTGTCCTGTCCAGCATTCCCTATTTTATAAGAAGTCCCTTGCTTCTCTTACCTTGATGATTAACTTTTTGGTGGACATTTTCAAATGAGAACGGGTACTTGTAACAAACATTTTCATCAGTAAATAGAAGACTGACTTTTCACCAGATATCTTCTCTGTCTCAGAGATGTCCTACAAGAAAAATATATTAAAATTCCTCTGCTACAGCAACACTGTACAGGACTATGTTGAATTGAGACTGATATGTAAGGTAAGTATTTTATTCTATAGACCTGTCCAAAAGTCCCAAGACTAGAAACAAATGGGATCATTTACACTACTTTGCATTTAATGAGCCAAGATCATTGCACTCACTTGTAAAATGCTTTCCTGTAAAGTGGAAGAAGACAATAGTAACAGAAACCCCCAACTGCTACACTACTACAAGGCCCCAAGACAAAGCCACCTCCCTCATCAATCCTATTTTACTCCCCAGTCATTCCACGTCTACCCCTGTTACAACACTCCATGGGTGTCTTTGCTTCTCCTCAAAGCCAGGTCCACTCCTTTCTCCTGACATGACAAGCAAACACTTGACAGAGCTCTTATCTTACAAGCCTGCAGTAAAACAGAGAGCTGGGGCCCTGATGGTTTCCACTAATTACAGGGAGCATTAAAAAATGTTGGAATCTTCCTTGGGAAGAGCTGGGATGGCTCCCATCAGGGGCTCATTTCCCTGGTCTGCAACCTCAAGCTTTCCAGACAAGGGGAAACCAGCATTGTCACTTGTGCTCCTCTCCAGAGACACAAAGAGCTACTGGAACCTTCTCCTGTGTTCACCAGGGAGGCAAAAAATATTGTCCTTGTAAAAAACCTTTAAGATCAGAAGGGATCCTTCACCACTGCTAAGAATGTAATTCCTGTTGACTTTCCAAAAGGGTCACCTCCTAAAATGACTAGACTAATTTAAAAGTAGGCAATGCCAGATGGAAAGAGTTGAGGACAACAGACCAAGGAAACATAAATTTGCATCAACTTCTTACCTGTACTTTGAACCAGGCAAATTTATTTGCGGGAAGTTCCAGAGCCACTTTCAGGATATGGTGCTGCAGAAGAGGAGGGACCTCTTCCCGCAGGCCCTTTTCAGTGACTATACCTGAGGTGTGAAAGCAAGAAACCAACTTCAGTTTGGTCCATTTTCCTGAAATCTCAGAATACTCATGTTTTAGGGTTTCAAACACAGCCGTGAGACAAGCTGGCAATTCAAAGATCTTCATCTCATGGGATCCCCATATGTACTGCAACTAAGGCTGGCCAGCCCAAGGTGAGAATCCAGTCCTCAAAAAGAAATTCCATCACCTGAGCCCAGCAGAAACCATTGGTCATGCATGGGAATATAAAATCTCTTTTATCAGTCTCAGCAATCCTGAAGAGCTGTGACCTACAGGCAGTACAAAGGATGGATAATCTGGAGAGGAAAACACAGCACTTAAGTCAACAGGAAATCTTAATGCTCACACCATGACAATATTTGCTCCAGACAATGGAACTTTACACTCATGTTTCTCCCTGCATCGCTGTACCACCAGTACAGGTATAACATTCCTTATTATGTCACAGGTCAGGGAGCTCCTGCAGTGTGATCAAAACCTGAGCAGCCCACACCTGACCTGAAGCTAAGTTACATGGGGACATCAGCTGTACAAAGCAATGGTGCCTGAGCCTCTCAGAGCCTGTGCAGGATCTCTGTGGCCCACATTAGAGAAACAACAAAACATTTTAAACAGTCACCACCAAGGCAATCCAAGAGTAAGTAAGACCAAACAATAAAACTCCAGCTATTTAAAGAACATACTGCTACAAGATAGAAAAACATGGTGCCTTTGGTGTCCATGTTTCTATCAGGAGGATCAGAAGGAGAAACAGAACTCTCACACTGACTCACCTGAGAAAACAAAGTCTCATGATTTTTTTACACCATCATTATCTCTCTTCAAAATCAATAGCCAAGCTCACTTCATTACATTTATTTGAGAATGACACTTTATTTTCCAGTCTGTTTAATTTTATTATTTCATAATGTACCCAAGAGACCCACAAAGAGATTTCTGCCTCACAAAAACATGTCCTGCCTTTTGTCCAGTTTGAAGTAAGCAGGCCAGTGCAAGAAATAAAGGGATAAACAGGGTATGTGATGTGGTAAGTCACCAAGTACAAAAATCAATTAAACACGCTCTGACAGGGAAAACCTCATGCACGAGACATTGATTTAGAGAGGGATTTTGTTTAAAGTCCCTTTTTCTCTTACAGGTTAATTAAGGCATTTACATGACTCCCATCCTTACACATCCCAGACATACAGAGAGCTGCTCACAGAGAACAGTGATGCCCGATCAACCCTTTGCTTTCTCCCTCAGCCTCAGCTGTATATGACCACATCGACTGTACCACAAGCAGTACTGGAGGAGCTTCCCAAATTTGTCAGACATGATTTGCCCTTAGTGAAGCCATGCTGGTTGTCACCAACCACCTCTGTATTTTCCAAGTATTTTAGCAGAGTTTCTAGGAGATCTGCTCCACAGTCTTGCCCAGCACAGAAGTGACACTGACTCGTCTGTAGTTCCTTGGGTCTTCCACTTTCTCCTTTGTAAAAATGAGGGCCATGTATCCCCCTTTTCCAGTCAGTGGGAATTTAACCAGACTACCACAAATTCTCAAATACGATGAGCAGTGGATTAGCCACTTCCTCTGTCAGTTCCTTCAGGACCTGTGGATGGATCTCATCGGATCCCATGGACTTGATCACGTTCAGGTTTCTCAGATGGGCTTGAACCTGATCCTCTCTGACAGCGGGCTCAGGGTCTTCGTTCTCCCAGTCCTGACATTTGCCTTTGCCAACTTGTGAAGCCTGGCTGGAGAACTTGCCATTGAAGACTGAGCCACAGAAGTCATTGAGAACCTCAGCCTTCTTCATGTCCAGGAAAGTCAGGTTTCCCATTTCCTTCTGGACAGGGCCCACATCATCCTTGGGCTTTCTTTTGTTGGCAATATACCTATAGAAGCGCTTCCTGTTGTCTCTTGACATCCCTGACCAGATTCATGAGCCTTAGCTTTCCGAACCCTATCCCTAGCTTCCCACACAATTTCCCCATATTCCTCCTAGGCCACCTGTCCTCCCTTCTACCTCCTGAAAGCTTGTTTTTTTTCCCATGATTTTGCTCTTCAGCTCCTTATCCATCCATGGAAGCCTCCTGACATTTTTTCCATATCTCCTCCTCTTCAGAATCCCTATCTCCTCCTCTTCAGAACTCACAGCTTGGAGGAGGTGTTCCTTGGTTATCAGCCAGCATTCTAAGGCTTCATTGCCCTTCAGGGCTCTGTCCCTATTAGACCCTAGCAAGGCCAAATCTCTATTAAAAGATTTTTCAGAGGACACTGGCAGACTGAGAGGTGCTGTTCTTCACCCCCACCCCAAGCTTTCTGTGAACTATCCTGTTCAAAAAAACTCTTTACCATCGCAGCTAATAAGAGTTTGGAAATAACTTACTGACAGTGGGTTGTTGACCAAGGGCTAGAAGAAACCTCTTTAAGAGCTGAATATAAGCCTTCCTCAGAAAGATTAGAATGCAAAGCTCATGACGACCAAACATTTCCAAGAATATGACACACAGAGAGGAAGACTGGAGTGCAACGTAGTGCTGACAGCTATGTCAGCATAGGGTGTGGCAGAGCTGCTATGGAATTTAACCATGCCAGAGCACTGCAGAAACAGCAATAATAAATGCCAACACAATGGAGAAACTAAAATGGGCTACTTTTAGAAAACAATTCTCTATCTCCATAGAAAAGCAAACATTCCCTTCTGCTATGGACTTTGTAAACAGCCAGAAAAAACAGTGGAGGAAATACAAATACCCATCACATACCTTTTAGCAGCTTGCTAAAATCAAAGTTGCTCTGTGCTACCAAGTGGGGCACAACCTTCTGATAAAGACATATGACCTGAAGCAGTGCAGCTTTCAGAAGCAGCGTCTCAGCATCATCTGAACCTAAACAAAAGTTTCCATAATTAGTTTCTTCTTCCTTCATAGAGGGAGTGCAGTGTCACACCTCCATTACCCAGAATGAGAATTAATAATTGTATTTCCAGCAGATTTGCTGGAAATACAGAAATGACCTGCTATCTTCCCAACAAGAACAAGAAAAACACCAGTGGAATCTCCAGTTTCATTCCCTAGGATTCCTGTATGAATACTTTCAAAACTAAATCTGCTTATTCAGCGCTTAGATTAAGAGCTGCCATTTCTAATTTGACCAGAAGTGCTCACACATATAAAGCACAACCTAACCATCTGAATACTCACTGTAAGAACCCACCCATTCCACTGCTGCTTAAGGCTGAACAACAGGAAAAAGTAAAGAAAAGGATATGGTCATGCTGCAGATTTCTGGGAACACTGCTTTTAGCAAACATCAGGTATGTTTGGCTGGGGACGTGCAGAAGAAAGCGCACTACAGTTTGGTGCAAATTTATTACTTCAGCTAAAAATTTTTTTTTTCCCTTTCCCCTTTCGAAGTAATACTTTCTCAGTGAAAGCTCCTGGCAAGAGGCAGACAATAAATACCTGTATAAGAAAAACAACAATAGCACTTAAGGCAACTGTTTACTTCCTAGGAAAAACCATCTCAGGTTTCAGTTGTACCAAGAGGAGCCATAAAAGCAACTTGCTATCCAGTCATTAATGAAAGCAAGCAAAGAACATGGGCCAAAACATTCAACACCTAATTTTTTCCCATTTACTTGATCTCCCTCACTGAGTTAGGAAGAACTGGATGAATGCCATGGATAAACTTTGTTTGCCCGAGTCTCAGCTCCCATTAGAAAAGAACTCTCTAGTGACTACAATGCAAATAAAGCAGTGGTCTGGTTTGAAAGCAAAACCAGTGAGAGACTTTAAGTCAGAAATAAAATTTTTTGGGAAAAGGGAAAAAAGACAAAAATGCATGCAATAATACAAAAGGAAGACCACTGACAAAGTCAGAATACAACCTGACACCCCTTTGACTAGCATGCTGGTAGCAGTCTAAATTGGAATGGCTGCAGTCCTCTTGGAATGGCAGATGTGGTTGCTGTGTCTTCTCGGAAACCTGTGGAAAGGCTGCCTCTCTCTCTAGAAATCCCCAGATTTATCCAGGTGGTAATGCCTAGCTCCTCCCCCTGGGCGGAGCAGCTCACAATGGACTGATGTTATTCTGAGTCGCAAGGTGTGTCCTTAATCACCTGTTAAACTGAACTGGCTCCTGGAGAGTGTTATCTCTGAGTCATGTGGCAAGATATTGATGGACCTATGAACAGGAGATAAGGAAAACTGCCCAGAGGCAACAGCTACTTGGATGGTAATAGGAAACATCTTGGTGCTTTAATCTTGGACAAGCAGTATAAGGTGACCTGGGAGTAAGTGACACATCATTACCACCTTAGAATGCTGAGGAACTACAGCTACAGGAATTAGCTGCTTCACTGTTTTCAGCCTTGGACTGTCAGTGCTGACAACATTGTCCTGCACAAAGGGAGGCACAGAAGGACATCCACTGAAAAGCCTTTTGCTCCAGGAAGTCTCTCTGTGAAATATGCCCTGTGAAGAGTAAAACTGGTTGCAGATTGATTTCTAGCCCACAAGGAAAACTTCACAAGTCGTTGGCCAAGATAGAGGCAATCCTGAAAATCCCCAATCCCTGCAATAAAACTCTGGAAAGAAACCCTTTGGGAGGGACACTGGATTTGAGAGAGGAAAACTGAGGCCTTCATTCCATCCCTCTCCCAACACTCATAATTCCACTCCTATGTTACATCAATACAAGCATTTCTGTAGCCACAGCAACTAACTGCTAAAAAAAAAAAAAAAAAAAAAAAAAAAAAAAAAAAAAAAAAAAAAAAAAAAAAAAAAAAAAAAAAAAAAAAAAGACCTCCTGGTAAAATAACCTGGACAAACAAAAATCTCTCCAAAAATTATTTTTCAGACATACCAGTCTCCCTGCCAGTTTTATTTTGTGGCTGTGAAATAGCTACTAGCATGGAAAGGTCAAGGGCAGGAGGGCTGAGTTCAACAAGAGGAACAGCAGAGCCCTGCACCTGAGGAGGAGCAGCCCATTCACCAGTACATCCTGGGGGCCACCCAAGTAGAGAGCAGGTTGCCGGGAAGGATCTGAAGGCTCTGGTGTCAGGGAGCTGCTCCTTCCCTTGCTCTCAGCACTGGGGAGGCCAAACCAGGAGTGTTGTGTTCAGGTCTGGACTCCCCAGAAAATGGAGACAGTGGGAAGAGTCCAGCAAAGGCTCACAAAAATGGTGAAGAGACAGGAACATCTCTCCTGTGAGGAATGGCTGGAAGAGCTGGGACTGTTCAAACTGAAGTGAAGGCTCAGGGGCATCTTATCAATGTGTATGAGCACCTGAGTGAGAGTGCAAAGATGATGGTGCCAAGCTCCTCCCAGAAGAACCCAGTGGCAGGAGCAGAGACTCTGGGCACTAAGTGAAACACTGGAACACTGTGGGCATCAGGAATCACTTTTAGACTTCAGCACCCACACAGGTTGCCCAAAGGGGTTCTGGAGTCTCCATCCTTGGAGATGTTCAAAAGCTGTGTGGATGTGGACCTGGGTAACCAGGTTTAGGCAGAGGTATCAGGCAAGATGATTTACAGAGATCCCTTCCAACCTCAAACATTCTATGATCCTGGGACAGCCAAGTCAAACTGCTTAACCTTTCAGTAGCAGTGGCAGCCTATATGTCGAACTGTGCTCTCAGGCAATTCTAACAGCCTGAGGAACTGAACAAAGAAAAGGCGCATAATAAATACACAACTGCGATCTGGATTCTGCTGAAGTTAAGGGTGGGATGAGAGTTTCACAACACTCATTCCCACAGAAATAAGCAGCTGTAACTCCACCTGCTTTGCCTACCATGCTGTTCTGCAACTTCTATCTCGGTCATTGCCTTCACAGTGCCTTCATCACCTTCCTTTTTCTCTGCTGGGCTGTCCTTGTGATCCTTCTCTTGCTTCAGCAGGGACTGCCAGACAGCCACTATACTAGTCATGTCTGGTAAAACCTAAAAGCAAAAAGGGTAAATTGCAACAGCTCTCATTTTTAAGACAAAGCTCCTGTGATAAATACATTCCCAGACACCTAACAGGAAGATAGATTTGCTGCTCTTCACAAAGGTTGGAATTGACTTTGTGTGCAATCCGAGAATGATCTGAATTCACCACTGTATTTCCACTTCTGTCAAATGTAAGTACTGGAAAGAACATTTTATTGAAAAGGCTTCCTGTGAAAAATTTGTTCCTGTTTTTCTCCCTCACGGCATATTGTCAACTCAAGTGCTCTCTTGTCTAGTAACTTCTGAGTAACTTCTGCTGGCTACATTGACTTGAACCAGGAAGAGAACTTGCTTCCTGCTCTTGGAAATCATTTGCAACACAACAGCCATCAATGTTGCAAATCTGTCTCACCACAGAATTTTATCAGCATTCCCATCAGACAGACATGTCAGGAAGTGTAGGCTCCCACCTCACCATTTAACCCTACAGCCTCCCCCAGGCTACCATCTCTTGTCTCCTGAGCTGCAACCAGTCCAGGAGAAAGTACAGGGGAGAGCAGCTGTCTGCTGCCTGCAAAATGCCTCCTGTCAGCCCCCAATTGTCTCTTTCTTTTTACCTTGCTGACAGCTTCTCTGTAGAGCTGCACAAACTCCTGCACTGCTGGCAGTGTGTAGATTTGTGATCTTTGCCAGGTTTCTTCAGACAAACAGTGTTGAATGTTCCTCAGAGCTCTTCTCAGCACCATGGACATCAATGATAGGATGCTGTGCTTCACCTCTGTGCTGGGCAACTAAAAGAAGGAAGTGAATTTATGACATTTCAGTGATTCCTGTTATGCTTTGCACAAAATCCATACTCTGAATGTGTGTTAAAACTGGTCAGTAAATTCCTCATTTTCTAGATCTTAGCTAGCAGTAAAGAATCCATAGGTTTTCAGATTCCCAGCCTAAAACACTACCAGTGGTAGAACTGCTGCTTGTGAAAGGCACCTGGAATCAATATCACCAATTTTAATTCATTTTCCCGTGCTTCACCAAGCCAGATTTATGCTGAGGCAGACAACATAAAACATAAGTAATTAACCAACTTAAGAAATTTCTTGAGTGATCACACACTAAAATGAAACAGTACTAACGAGGACAGAAAAATCACTGAAATAGTATAGAGTGCTCTTACATTTAACCCTTGGTTGAACATTGCTCTATTACACACTGCAGGGACTGTTGTTACCATCACCATAGAAAGCAATCTGGGAAGAGGAATAAATTCTGAAGTCTTGAAAGAATTGGAGATCTCTGATTGAGCCTCATAGATCTTAAAGAAAAGAAAAAAAAATTTAAGCCCTATTGATACAGTTCTGGAGATGACAGCTTCTTCTGGGGAGCATTTTACAGAAGTGATGGCAACATTAAATGTCAAAGTTTATGCAAAAATGCTACAGAGCATCCTCCAGACTCCTACTTGATAAATGGACCCTCTGTATGCAACCAGCATCCCTGTTAAAGGTCATCCCTTTTCAAGAGATTCCAGATCCTACTTGCCCATTTTAAGCTAAACAAAGAGGCAGCAGAACACGCACAAAGGTCAAAAGGTTTTTCTAGCTAAGCTTTGATATTGCTGCATCTCAAAAAATAGGTCACTGATGGGATGTCTTCCACTGTTTCTTACACCAATTCCTTCTTTACTGGTTTAAATGTTTATAGAGCCTCCTGCTCTGAGCAAGGTTTTTTACCATCACCCATACTCTTACCTTCTTGAGTAACTTCATGTTGTCCATCCAAGCAGACTTCACTCTAGGAACAAAGGAATACTGGGTCTCTTTGAAGTATCTATTCAATAAATCTGGGCATACTTTGAGAATATTCACCACAAGATCAGCAACCATTTCATCTTCTGTTGCAGTTTTTAGACCAAGCAGGAAGTGCAGAAGTACCACATTTCCTCCCCTGTTGAAGACAAAATATTTTGAATTAAAAATCCTTATTTTGATACTTTATATGGGATGTGAACTCTGCAGCTCCACTGTTAATTGAAGGCAAGATCTCTCACCCTCCTGGCATAATTTGAGTTTATACTCAAAGAAGTAAGAAAGTAATTACCTCCACATTTTCTGCATGACAAACAGTGAATTAACACTACACATTCCAGGGCAGACACCATAACTAGTGAAGTCTCTTCTGCTTCTAGCAAAAAATCCACGTACAATCCCAGCCACCAGTGACTTACTTGCCAGAAGTTCCAAGACTTGGATCACAGAACATTATGCCGTGTTTCAGAGAGCAGCAGAGGTCCATTAAGAAACTATGCACAAGTTCTCGGACCATTGCTTTTCCCAACTCCTTAGAACCTTGAGCCACCTACAAGAACCAAAAAGGAGCAAAAAAGGCATATGAGATTTTGCATCACAGATCTCAGCCTTACTTTACATTTTATATGGCTCCTCTTAGAGAAATACTAAAGGAAAGTTTGGCTTTTATTCAGATTAAAAAGAGAAGCTTCGGAACCTGAAGGTCCCTTCCAAGTCAAACCATTCCGAGATTCTATAAATCCATTAACGTTCTAAATCTGGAACAACTCAAAATGCCTAGGGTAAGAAGACTCTTGACAACTGTGGCTGGGAAATCATTAATCATATGACTTACACGGACTGCCAGGAACTGTAAGAACTTAAAATTATTCAGAACTGAAATGTATGCTTATGAATGGGGTCAGAGATTTGCAAAGCTCCAGGCAGATTTCTACTAGAAACAGATCTCCTCCAAAGGGTTTTTAAAGTACATCAGGATGGGAGTGGCAGGGTCATAAGCATCTGGTAGAGGAATACAAGAGGGCACACACAAAGGTGAAAGGATCTGTAGCCAAGACCCAGTGAGAAGCAGCAGAAATTTGGGGGTTCTTTTTAAATAGGCTCAGTAGATTCCTCTTTTTGAGCTCACTAAACTCAGAGCAACTGGGAGTTGTTTCAAAAGCTGTGGGCTGCAAGAGGAGGGGAAATTAAAGGCAGCACAAGGACTAAAACTAACAAAGAAATAAGTGACCAAACCTTTAAATCCTCCGGGCTGACATCAGTAATCCCATTCCAACGGTACAGTGAAGCGATGTGAAGCAACACTTCTGGAGTGAAAAAACGCACCTTCTGTGTTTTGCTGATGTTTTTGTTATGAACCACCTGAAAATGAGAAAAATGCAAACTCTTCTATTTATTGCAAATTGTCACAAAATCACGGCAAAACAACAACACGCCTCATTCTTCTAGTACACGCAGAGCTGACTCTCCCCCATGGCAGAAGAAAGGTTCTGCCTGTCCTGCCAACACTTCTCTCACATGCTCCTGCTTCACACTGACCCTACAACGCCTGCATGTGCTGGACAGGACAGATGTTCAAGTTCAACTGAAGAGTACAGATCTTGTTTAGAGCATCACAGCTGTAGAGCAGAACCAGAGGAACTTGGGTGTGGATATAGTAAAGCCTACTACAAATAAGGTTTAAATGAAAGGGAATACACAGTGGAAGAAGTTTCTCAAAAGTTCTTCTGCTGTGCTTTACTGCTGGCATTGCTTTAGTTCCCATTTTTCTTGCTAAGTTAAAAGAGTCATACAGCTGGGGTCCACCAATAATGCAACAGCTCATGATGCACAAGAAAAGCTTCATTTGAAAAACAAAGTTCCAAGGAGGTTTATTTTACATTTAAATTATAGCTTTTTTATTATCCTTCTTTCCTAAAGCAAAATGAAAGAACATCTTTGTTCTGAGGCAGGCCCTCATGGCTACACTCTAACTTTGAAATTTTTCTTCATTCTCTCAACTGTTCATGCAGCAGTTTATGCAACATAGTTACAGCAGCTCAGAACATATATTAAAAAGTCATAGATTCTGGAGATAAAAATATTTTTAAATAAATAAAATACACCTCAGGTTCAGCTGCTCTACAAGCAACAAAAGCACCCCATGAAAGAGGCAGGGCCATGCTCAGGTGACAGAGCACAGGAAAGGCAGCTACCACTAAACCAACTTTCACACCTTTCAGCAATTCCTGTTTCCCTGTTTTCAATCCTGAGACAGTAATATAACAGCTAAGCTACCAACCTCCAATACATATTATCAGTCACACACACTGCAGCAGCCCTAAGACCTGAACATTGTGTGAGAAATCACTGCAGAACTGTTTTCAGCAGTGAGGAAAATAGAAACCATGAAACAACACAGCTTTAAGGGTGTATCATACCTTAGTTCTCAGTGTGGAAAGTAGAAGATTGACAGTAGAAACTCTGTCTTCCTTTATTTCAGAGCGAAGAATAGATGGAATGAAATCTAAGAGGACATTTCAAATGTTAAGTTAAAATGTGAAAATCCTTTTCATACTAAAATATTTCAGGGAATTCATACCCATTCCTCTTCCATGTCCCATTATTTATCTTGCTGTTATATTCCAGGATTAACCAAAAGGCAGCAAGTCAGACATCAGGAGGATGATGTGTCTGTGACTATGGTTATGAGCAAGTGATGCTGCTAAACCTACTCTCATCTTGACTGGCCAATTTGCCAACTTGCTGATTAACACTGCCACAGCATCTGTCAGCTTTAAATACATTTTGGGCCCTGAAATGCCATAGTAAAATCCAAGTAATTTCATATTCTTCCCATTGAAGCCCTTGTTATTGCTTCACTGAGTGATTCTCAAATGTTTGGAGGTTCCATGTCCAATTATGTGCATCTCAAAGTTAGACAACTTTTGTTTATACAGAACTTGGAGCTCTTACAGGGGAATGAAAGCCATCTGTACTGACTGGGCTGAGGTGTGCAATCCCCAGCCTGAAAGAACTAAACAGCTAAATCAGCAGCCCTGGGGTAGCAGGAGCAAGAGAAATAAATAATTACAGTTCTCAGTCCCCTGCTATAGGAGAAATTACTTGCTGCCAGCTAGTGGCTTAAGCACTTCTAAACAGTATTTCTAGATCCCTTCTGAATTGTCTCATAACTTTACCAAGGGCCACAATTCACAGGGCAGAAAGACAACTGAAGTACACCCTTTTCAAAAGAAAAATTAATGCAACATATCCACTGTGACTGTCTTATGAGCAAGGCTGGAGGCCATGATTTTTTTTTGTTTATTGGCTTTATGACCTCAAAGCTTTTTATTAGATTTATGGGGCTTTTTTTAATCTGTGTCACCAATGACTTTATTCTTGAAAAGTTTTAGCATATAGCATATTGTTCTCAAGCTGAAGAGGCTTACTTACTACACTACCAAGGAAGTTTAAAGCTTTTCAGATAGTAAGAATAAAAATTGATATTTTGCTTCTTATTAGTGCTCTCTACCTGGTCCACATTTTTAATTAGGTTATATTTATTATCACCAATAAATGACTGTGCCTTAAAAACAAAACCCCAACAAACAATTATGAAGTACCTTTTAATTCCAGAACCTGTGCCAAGATTGCATTGTCACCAGCAATGAGAAAGGAGAGAGCAAACTGAATATAGGCCATGCGGACATCTGGCCTCCCCTGGAAACATCAAAATTTAAATATAAAATGAAAAAATGTTGCTAGCACACAGATTGTACCCAACTGCAGAATTGATAATGCAACTTGCTGATTATCCCTAGAAGCACCATAAATGGGTAAATGAAACAACTTCTATAAAAATGTTGCATGCAGCCACAAACATACATTTATATGCACTACATCCACAGCATATTCAGCTAAAAAACTTCTTGCATTAAACAGATCACTTTTATATATAATACTAGTTCACGTGCTTTTCAATTTTCAATATATGAGACCACACCACAAATTTAAATAGAAAGGGAACATTAACAGCCGTTTCATACCAAACCCTGCATCACTGAACTTCCGCACTTGTGCACAGCATGGTCAGTTCACAAAAAAACCCATAAAAAGGGGTGAATATAAAACTACCAACTCAGGCACAATGGGAGCAGTGAAAGCTTGATTTATAGCAGCACCATAGGATATGAACATTGGATCATAAAATGGGTTAAGCTGGAAGGGATCTTCAGGATCACCTCATTCCATGCCCTGCCATGGGCCAAGACACCTTCCACTATCCCAAGCCCTGCTGCTCCAAGCCCTGTCCAACCTGGCCTTGGACACTTCCAGGGATAGGGCAGTTGCTGCTCTGGGCAACCTGTGCTGGACAGCATCTCATCACCCTCATGGCCAAGAATCTCCTCCCAAGACCCAATGTAAATATACCCTCTTTCCAAGAGTCACCCTTTGTCCTACCACCACATTCCCTGACAGAGTCCCGCCATGATTTACAATTTTTTTTAAACCTGCTGTGCACAATTAAGCTGCATGTAAAGAAGCCTGAAAGAAGATTCTAAGAAAGCAAAAGATAAGACAGCAGGGACTCATGAAAGGGCTGAATGAAGAAATAAAAAGAAACAAAAAATATTTTGCTGTGAGCTTTGGGCCTGGTATTTTTGTGTTAAAACCTCACCTCTGATAGCAAGCTGTGACATAATTTCACTGAAAGCTGTACAAGACTAAGACCTTTTGGATGCTAGTTTCCTTGTACCTTACTCACATATTTACGCAGTTTATGGTCAAAAGACTAAACCCATCAATTTAAAATTAAGGGTGGAGTTACTCCTGCAGACAACTCCTGAAGTGAGAAAATCCATGGAATCTGACAATTCCAGAACTATAAAAGGTGGTTCCAGGGAAAAAGGGAGGTGTTTGGTTTTTTGCCTTCCACTTGATTATTGTAAAGAAAAAGTCTGAATTTTCATCTCAGATGGCACAAACCCAACATAAATGCACACATTCACTCTGCAAGTAATCTTTAAAATCCAGAAACAATATGTCAGCATTGTAAACAATACTGGATTTAGTACACACTTGCATTTGGAATGACACAAATATTCTTGTTCTAAATCACTTATTTGCGTCAATCCTGACTATTTTTAGCAAACAGGGAGAGAACAAGAGATAGTTTCTTCTGGAAAAAGAGTGACTTTTTCTCTTCACTCACATAATCTTAAAGATTTCCAGCTAGAGATTAATTAGAACTCTTGTTTATGTTTTCAAATGCAATTACTCTGTATTAGTACTGGGCAATATCCCCTCTCCAATTTCCATTTGTTTCAGTGGGACCAAACTGCGAAAAAAAAACCCAACTAGTTTTCAGGAGTTTACTATCACTTTCATTCTGCTTTAGACATTAGAAGGGCAGTTCACAGAAACTGTACATTTCCATTTCTCCATAGCTTGTTGGAAACACATAAAGCATTTTCATGTGTCAGTTTTCATGTGTTTTCATGTGTCAGTTTTCAGTTAGGCACAATCAAGGACTTCAGCCTGACACAGGACAAGGAGGGAGAGTTAAGCTCTTGCAGATGAAAATACAGCAAACATTGCCAACAGCTTTGCTTTATTCAGCTTTGCTCTGCATAGATAGCTAAAAAAGCTGATGGAACCATGGCATAGCATGCCACGACATGCAGCACCTTAAGTTTACCTGTTTGCATCTTTTTTTCAACAATCCAGGCAGGTACTTGTTATTGAAGTCAAAATGACTATATAAGTCCCTTGCTGAATCCGGGCCCTGAGCCACCATCACTGACAGCAGTGTAAGGCACCCTCGGCTCATCCTAAAAAAAACAAAGCAGATGGAAACCTGCAGGCTATTCCAGGATGACAGTTATACAAACCACCAAAACAAGAGATTAAAACTTAAAGTGAAAATAGAAGGGAAGTTAAACAATCAAAGTAATTATTTCAGGCAGTAATAACAGCAGCTGGGAAAGAGGGGAGAGGGAAAAAGGAGAAGGAAATGCCTTTTTATATTCTTCCCCAAAATTAAACTGTAATGTGAGGCTGGGTATTCCCTTTATTAAGTAGTTTAAAAGAGAGAAAGTGAAAAAAATTAACAATTTTAAGATAACCTGTTCACAGCAGTGAAGTTGGACTAAGCAACCCTTAATTATTCCATGATTCTATGAACTCCTGAATTCATAGAGGTTTGCCATTTATTTCAATGGGAATATGTCAGGCCCACTACGCACAAGACTGCAGCCCTTCATCATCTGAACAGCCACTACCATGAACAGATTTGTAATCTGTCCATCATGTTTCTGTCATGAACAATCTGTAAAAAGCCACGTGATTCAAGCAGAGATCCCATCTAGACATAAAGGTAACACCTCTGCACATCAAAGCGGTTGCACAGAAAATGCAGAGCATCTCCCATCAGAAATCTGCAGCCTCCTCTGTGCAGGTTCTAGAAGGATTTCTCCAGAACCTGCAATCTTTAAACATTTAATAAGAAGTTCATATATGCTACACAGCTTCAAAATTTGTTTCCAGTATACCTATTTGAGATGCTTTGTCCTGCTAAAATGCCTGCTGAAAAAGGATCAACTGCACAGTGCAGGAAGCACAGTTGTGTCTATGAACTGGGAAAGCACAGAAAGCCTTTCCAATTCTGCTCAAAGACTGAAAGATGAGTCATTGGCCTTGGACAAGCCAATTTCAGTCTGATTTTTTCTCTGCTTTTTTCCTCTTCCTCCCAGGTTTGTACTTAAATATCTAACATTTGCAATTTCCTTCCCCTATCCACATGAGCATGAGAATTTTTTTGGTCTGGACTAGATAACACAATTATTGAACAACCTAAAATGACCTCAGACTTAAGAGACTGAAAAAATTACAGAAGAACAGCCAGTCTGAAAGAGAAAAATCCATTTTAAACATGGAAACCTGACTTTAAAAAATACAGGGAAATAAAGCACTCAAGAGCAGCCCTTTTTGCCATCAAAGGAAGACTGCCCAACCCTGTTCCATGCAATGCATGTTACCCCCAAAATCAAACAGCATTAAAATAACAGGACTCAAGGTACCACCCATGTTAGCTTTCACTAGGAATAGGCCCAACTGATGAAAACTACGGTTTCAAGAAAGTATCCTACAGCACTGGATTGTTTGATATATCAGTTTCCACTTGGCAAAGACTTCCACAGGCAATTATTTTGTGGCAAGTGGAAAAGGATTATTAAATAAAGGTGTATTATTAGCAGTAAGTCAAGATGAATTTTGCAACATCTAGTACAGTCTCTCCAGATTAACTGACAGAGATTCTCCACCAGAGCACCAGGAAGACTTACCTGTGATTTTCAGAATACAAAGCAGCATAGACCAGTTTCATATAGGAATGAATCAACTTTTTGACAATGTTCATTCCCACGGCAGAAAAATGTGAGAGGTCGCTGGCTGTCCTCAGTAATATGGCTTCTAAAGCTTGAAAGATTAACAGCATCTGCAGGATAAAAAAGTATGTCAATATCTGAAAATATCAGGTAAGACTTGAAATTATTAGCTGAGCAAGCAGTAATAACCACCACTGATAAAAAGGGTAACCCCATTCCCAGAGGAAAGCTTCCACATATGAAAGTGACATTAACTTCTAGATTCCCTCCCAAATTAATGCTTCCTCTGAAAAGATCACTTTCGAGAGCATGTAGTTTCAAGGAATCAATGCTTCAAGAGACAATTGCTGCTAGGTGGACAAAAAGAATTTTAAATGTCCTAGAGAAAAACATCAGGGCTGTTCCAATCTTGAAAATAATTCTTTCCAGAAGAATCCAGAATCCATACAGCACTGGGGCTGTACCCATTACAAACATCAGCCCCTGTTAGCAATGGGATATTGAGGAAAGGCTGTCACTGAACATTACAGAGACAAAAATGATACTGAAAGGCAAAGAACAGTAAGTGACGGTTAAAAAGCCACAAAGTACATTACTACAATGTAAGCAGTAACACTGTACATTGTAAGCAACGCTGCACCAGCATTCACAGTGAAAAGTTATTGAACTCTTTGTTCATTCATCGTATTCTGACAAGGATAAATTGTGTCCAGCTGAAATAAGAAAAATGAAGTCAAGTTTACCAGTGGCTTCCTAGAAGTACTGATGTATCAGGCAGATATCTAAAAACATTTGCTTTCACTAGCCTACTTTTGTTTTGCTTTAATTGCTTCTGTTGATCCCCTTATTTCCTTAATGACCTTTTGATAACATTTAAAGAACCGTTACAGCTTGATTTGGACAGAACTATTGGTTTTGTGTGTCATTAAATTCAGGAAACAAGAAACATCTATGAACAGAAAGGAGCATCTCCCACTTGGTAGGTGTTTCTGCCACTGCTACTTCCAGGAAAAAAAAAAAAAAAATACAGAGTTACTTACACCACAAAGCACTATTTACTCATAAAACCACAGAATATCCTGAGCTGGAAGGGGCCTACAAGGATCACCCAGTCCAACTCCTGGTGCTGCACATATACCTGAACAATCCCACCCTGTGCCTGAGAGCGTTATCCAAATGCTCCAGGATTTCTGGCAGCCTTGGCAGCTGTGACCATTCCATGGCAACCTTTTGTTGGCTCTTCTCCACGGTGGGATTGTAGCCGCCAGTCCCTGAATGACAACCCCTATATCCAACTTACTTCACTTTCAGGCTTCCTTTCTCCGTCGAGAAGCTTGAATATCTCAGCACACTCCATGGAAATTTTCACGTATCCTTCCACGACATCGTACACTTGGGGCGATGGCAGCATCTTGGCGATGGACACGAAGGTCTCCAGCCCTGCAAAGCCACAGCGTCTTCTGGGGCACCAGCGCCACGTGTGGGGCCCGCTCTGGGCCGCCCGCGGGCGGGACCCTGAGGGGCCAGTCCGTGCCCATGTGCCGCAACCCCGCCAGCAACGGCATCCGTGCCACCCCCGCGACATCCTCCCGGTCGGCCGCCTCAGCCCGGGGCAGCCCCTCATCCCGAAACGGCCATTTCAGCCCGGGGCAGCCCCTCAGCCCGGGCCGGCCACCTCAGCGCACGCCTCTCCCGCCCCGCAGAACCCCTCACCCTTGGCGGCGGCCGCGGGGTCCCGCAGCAGCGCCTTGAAGCGGGCGCCATTGAACTCCTCGTCCCGCGGGCCACAGGCGCGCTTGGCGGCAGGCTCCCCGCTCCGCTCCCCGACCCCGCCGCACCGCTTGCCGGCCATGCCTAATCCGAACCCGGCCCAGGCCCGCCCCGGAATTGCCGCCGCTTCCGCAGGAAGGGGCGGGCAGAGCAGGAGCGGCCCGGGGCTGTGGAGGCCCGGAGACGTGAGGTAGTGCTGCGGCCCGGGCCTGGCCCAGCGGGAGAGCTTTCCCAGCTATCAGTGACGAGGTGGACAAAAAAAGTTAAAAATAGTTGTCGTGGAATGGTTTGGAAGGGACCGCAACGGTCATCTCGTTCCACCATCCATTCCCGCCCCCTGCCATGGGTAGGGACAACTTCCACTAGGCCAGGTTGCTTCACGTCCTGTCCAACCCAGCCTTGGACACTTCCAGGGATACAGGGACAGCCACAGCTTCTCTGGGCAATCTGTGCTAGGGCCTGCTCACCCTCACAGCTGAGAATTCCTTCCCAATGTCCCAATTGCAGCAGCCTCTCATCCATCGCTGCTTGAAAGGCCAAGCAGTTTTCTGTCATCCCAGCTTCCACGGCCTGCAGCCCCTTTCGATCCTGAACCAACATGGCTTAAATTTTGGAGTGGAAGGGGAAAGCACGGAGTGATGGGACGCAGGTAGAGGAGAGAACTTCTCAGATACTCCTTTCTTTCCAGGAAAGAGAAAGGCTTCGGATGACCTAGCTGTGGCTTTCCAGTACCTGAAGAGGCCCACGGGAACGATGGAGAGGGACTATTTATAAGGGAAGGAGTGACAGAAGTTGCTTCCAACTGGCAGAAGGCAGGCTTAGATTAATTAAAATCTAAATTCTTCCCTTGCTTTCAGCAAGAGTTATGCCAGGACAAGCACAGTGATAAGGAGGAATGGAAAATGCCTTGTTCCAATAAATTGTTTCTTATGGAATGACACCAGTTGAAACAGTAGTGGAAGATAGAGGAGATTATTTCAGTAAGAAAAAAATAAAGATCTATCCAAATCCAGACCAGAATTTTTTTTTTTTTTGTCATATGTGTAAGTAGTAAATGTAACATTAGTATCTTCCTGGGTTTTTTCAAACTGTTTGTTTGTGGTTTTGTTTTGTTTTGTTTTGTTTCTTTTTTCAGCAAAATACTGTAAAGAAAAGTGATCCCGAAGAGGGCAACATTCACAGCCATTCTAAGACAGGATGAACAAATGCTTTCACGTTGACAGAAGATTCTATGATGTTTTAAGAACAGAGGGTAGAACAAAATAAAAGAAGGTGAAGTTAGAAGATAGAAAAGGGTAAAATAAAAGGAGTACATAAGACTAGGGGAAAAAGGGGGAAATGGGAAAATACGAATTCACAGAATCACAGAATAATGAGGTTGGAAGAGACTAAGATCATCAAGTCTAACCTATGCCCTAACACCTCAACTAGACTATAGCACCAAGTGCCAAGTCCAGTCTTTTTTTAAACATATCCAGAGATGGTGATTCCACCTCCTCCCTAGGAAGACAATTCCAGTATTTTATTATTCTTTCAGTGAAATTTTTTTTCCTAATATCCAACCTAAACCTTCCCTGATGTAGCTTGCTAGACACTAAGTAAAAGGGCTTTTTTTCAAGTAATTTATGAGAACAAAGCTAAAAGCATCTTACTGCTGCTAGTGACATCATGCTCCGAGCTCTGTTAATTCCTATTTCTAGGAATACTTAAATTTAACAAACTACATTCCAGCTATTTTTCTGCTTGTTTAGATGGCAGTTCCATTAGGAATTCACCTCAGTAGAGAAAATTCTATGCAAGGGTAGACTTTTCAGTTCCTCCATAAAACATTTTTGGTGGTTTACTGGATGATGGGAATCCTTTGTTTCAGCCTTACAGTTTTCTTGAAACTTAAATTTATGCAGGTATCCAAATACATTTGCAATTCCAGAAACTGATAGGCACATAATATGGAAAGTAAATAACATTGTCAGGAGGGAGTTGCATTGTTATTGAGGGGATGAAAAGGAAGGCTAGAGCTAATAGAACTAGGAAAAATGATTTGATTTAACACAACTTTTAAAAGGCTCAAAGTACCCATACTGAGTTCTTCGTAAAAGTCCTGGTTACCAGACTTAAAAGCCTGATAGTTACCATCACACTCTATTTCATAGTTCTAGTATTTTAAAACTACTGCAGAAGGCTACTGTTTTGTTTTTTTTTTTAACTTGAAGTTCAATTATTCTCTCCCTTCACTGCCTGTGTAGCTGTTATAGGCTTCCAGGAGGCTGGGTAAGCAGACTGCTGCTTTCACCTCCAGACAGATCACTTCCATGTTCTGCTGGAGTGCACTTTGAAGCCCATGTCCTTTTCTTTCTCTGTTATATCTGACAACTTTCCTAAGTGTTTTTTGGCAAGCAGCATTTACGGAGGGCCAGTCAAAGATCTCAGGCTCATACAAAATTCATCTGCTCTGTTGTGTTTATATGTGCAACAGATGTGAGCAGTGAACGAGTCAAGCAGTAACTTCTGAGCCACCCAGTTTTCAGTAAATCAAAATATTCTGTGATTCTTGCCAGATAAACAGATCATCATATCCAAGTTATACATTTCCCCTCTGGCATATTTTCAAGTCTGAAAAACAATTCCTAGTCCCTTGCATGAACCTCAGCTCTGTGCCTTGTTCAAGGAGCAGTTTTAGATGCAAGACTAATTGAGCCAAGCGGCCCTTTCCTGCCTCAGCTGTGACCTCTTAAGCCTTTACTGCTCTGAACACAATGTAAACAGCCGAGCCCCAGCCCTGCAGCCCTGCTTACTTGCTTTTGCCTCCCAAACCTGAACCATTTTCTTTGCTGTGGGGTCCTCACTCATGCAGTCCTGAAGACAAAAATCTGATTTGGCAGAAGAGGCCATTTCTAATGCAAAGCTTCACCAAGGTTTCTCTTCTGATTTCAGCCTTAAACACTCCTGTTCTTCTCAGCTAGCCCCTGTCTCCAGCCTTTAGTCATAGATATTTGCTGTCCTATAGCTAATACTTGCCACCCCTCAGGATTAAGTCTCTTGATACACATTTACATCACTCCCTAACCATTTCCTCATGACCCTTCCCAAACTCCAGGCCTATTGTCGAAGACCACCCTAGGTCGCAGGGTGGCTTCGTGTGGTGGAAAAGCTTCTCCTCCAACCTGTGCTTCCAAAGAAAGGCTCAGTATTCTCTTGTTTGGTCTCATGGTTGTTTATTGCAAGTTATCTAGAAGATTGTGTTCTCGGGCTGCTGCAGTTTGCTCAGCAGCTCAGGCAGAGGCACACACACACCCTGACATCCTCTCTGACACCCGTCTTCTTCTTCTCTCCCCACGTCCAGGGTTGGTGCTATCTTTTAAATGGTACATTACGTGTTACATGTTTACAGTTTTTCCCCAATACCTACTACCTATATTAAATGGTGCTTTTCTACTCTAAACCAATCTATGAGTGTAGAAAATATCAGGCTCCTGCACGGTGTAGATGAATGGAGGCAGAGATCTCTGTAGTTTGCTCTTGGGGAAAGAGGTTTATTGGGGGTGCAGAAGGTCCTGCCTCGTGCTCCCAGACGCAGCACGTGGCCGGGCCTGAGAGGGTGGGGGAGGGGAGAGACAAAAGGACGCTCTAGGAGAGGGGAAGCTCCAAGAGGAGGGAGGAGGTTCCAAGAGGGGAGGTAGTTCCAAGAGAGGGGAGGAAGTTCCAAGAGAGCGTGTGGTCCCTTGAAGCCTCCTTATAAAGGGGCTTCAAGGTGGGTTGGAATAAGGCATGGCCAATGGAGTTACAGACATTGGATGTTTGAAGGGAGGGATAGAGGTGCGGGGTGAACCATACATCTTTTGGGGGATGGGATGGAACAGTCCATTTCACCACAGGACCTATCCAAAGGCAGGGGTGTCATCCAGCCAGCTGGGAGAACTGTTCTCATCCTAGCTGCATTATTTATGAACAATCATATTTATCTATCTTCCGCAACATATGAGTGCCAACATCATCAAGAACATGGAGGTAAGGAAGAAGAAGGAGAAGGACAGGACCAGCCAAAATCCCTCCATCTTAAGAAACCTCTGACCCCCATGTACAAAACAGAAACCCCCCTGTACAGCACTAAAAAATTCTTCCCTCTACTTTATTTCTACTATAATATCTAAACTTTTGTGAGTTCTTGTTCTTCCTGCAAAGTTGATAAATCATTCCATGGCTCAAACCCAAAATCACAGCTGTTTCCAGCTGCCTGCCAGGGTTTCAAATGCTTCTGACCTGGGCCTGGAACCTCCAAAAATGTCTGAGGGACATTTTGAATTCCCACAGCCTACAGCCTCTTCCTACAGATGAGGGATTATCTCTGAGTAGGACTGCTGACAGACCTTTGCATGAGCCCAGCTTTGTAGCCCACACTAATCCAAGTTCAAACCTGTCCTGTAAACCCACTGGTGTTTGGGTACTGGAGCCCCAGTTAAAGTAACCCCGGTGGTTGCACTTTGAGGCCATCTGTGAGTTGTGATCCCCTACCCTACACTAGTAAGAAATGCATTCATTTCTTAAAATAATTTTTTCATGTATAAATTAACTATAGAAAGCATTCAGAGGGAATGGATTTAATCCAAAATCCCATCTCTAAAACTGGAGGTCTCAATGTTTGCTCTTAGTTTACACAATTATTCCACAGAAAAGTTTCCTTCAGTTTTTCCCAAAATTTCAAGTGTGATATCTTCCTGCTTTCCAGCCTTTGACACTCTGAGGCATGGGATCACAGAAGGAGAGAGGGTGGATGCTGCCAAGAGATGGGATATCAGGACCACCTAATCAGCACAGCCTCTTGAGAATGGAATATTCCCAACACAGTCACTTCTTTGTCATCACATGTCTGAATGTGCCCTTTACTCTCATGCTCCCTGCTCTGATCAGCCTAGTGCTATGTCATACACTTGGAGACACAGTCATTGCAGTGCTTGAATTCGAGAAGTTTGGCATTGAGGAGTCCAGGTGATGTGCAAGGTCAGAGTATGAACCCAGGAGATGAGTAGGCTGGCAAGGCTGAAGTAAAACCACAACTTTCTTTACTCTAGATGCTGTAAAACAAAATCACCTCTCCTCCTTTTCTCCCTCCTCCCCCAGTCCCATAGTTATTTCAGCTGGAGTGCATGGAGTGTGTTTTAGGCCTGACTAATGGCAATTTATCTTTCTCCCACAAGGAATATTAGAGATGGTCGATAGGGAAGGATATGCCAACAAGGCATTATGAACATCAGGGGTTTGAATCAGAGTATGGTGTGAGTCTGGAACTGGGCTGAGTGCCCAGGTGCTGAAAATGGGTGAAAAGATCAGAAAAGAAGGGAAGAGGACAGAAGAGTGGAGAGGTCAATGAGCAGGCTGTGAAGAGCTAGAGGAGGCATATGCTGGAAGCACCTCTGAGTATCTACTGCAATTGTCGGTGTATCTTCTGTGTACTGAAATCCTTCCCACCTTCTACACGTGGAATAATCTTCAAGCATCATCCAGTCTGAGTTAGTTTGATATAGTCACTGAGTCACAGAATTTACCAGTGAGCACTTACAGTCCTGATAGGAAAAGCAGGCACTTACAAACACTGCAATATTATTTTCAAATTCTGTTATTTGCTTCTAATTTCACAGTGCTCAGGTCAAATTAGCCTGGATCTCAAAACTGTTAACTCTCACTAATTAGATATTGACATGAGCTACTCTTTCCTGAAACACTACCAGTTTTCCATGCCTTTACATACCTAACTTGAGAGACCTTGAAGCTTGATTATTTTCAAGGTTTTTGGAAAAGCTAGTTTTTTCAGTCTTTTGACATTGATTCTGTGGCTTTAAAAAACTTCAGTCTTGAATTTCAAGTATAAAATTGTTGCTGTGCAAGACCAGCCCCGGGCAGACACCAGCAGAAGCGTGGGGGAGGAGGGGAGACGCGGGTGCCACTTTCCCCTTTGGCTCTGTGTGGCTCAGCTTCAGCGTGGGAACAGACGAAATAGCAACAAGGGGCTCAGGTGCAGACACGTGTTTATTGTAGGTGCCTGTTCCCCAAGACACCGGGGCACCGGCTGGGTCTCGGTTATAACTTTCAAACTGGGGGGGGGGGGGGGGGGGAGGGGAAGCAGAGCCACGGCCAATTAGGATAGGACAGGGGCAGGAAATCTCTGGGACACCGGGAAGGCAGGAGACCCCGGGGGCGGGGGCAGCGATGGGAAAGGCGGGGAGGGGTGGAGTAGGGACCAACTGCGTGGCGAGGGGGAATGGGGGCCGCAACTCCCTCTTTGGGTTTACATAAAGGAAAGGGAGTTCTGAGGTAAAAACAAATTAACAATTACTGAGAAAACGTAAGTTGAGAGACATCGGAAAGTGATACACCAATTATAGTTACAATGCATGGGGTAAAAATCTTTTTCACATTACAATTTAAGATAAAGGGTACAAAATTATTATAAACACATTCTGTATCGAGGATGGAAGCAGGATTCATGATGTAATGCTTGTGGTTTTCGAATTCTAGCAGAGCTGAAGCAGCGAACGGCGACGTGGTTTCTCCAATTTGATTATTTGATTGCTCAGTTGGCATAGTGTTGTGGGCAGTAATTAGAGAGGATGAGCTTTCCTTCTATAAAATATAACTCAATCCAAGAAGTTATTTCCAAATTATCACAAGCAATGGGAAAAACTTGTATTGAAATAATAAGGGAACTTTGAGCAAGGTACATTTAGGAGATGGAATAGAGGGGTGGACCTGGGCACCACCGTTTCAGGGCGAAGAAAACAGTGGAGCCCTGGTCCAGGGTTTCCAGCTCCACTCCCTTCAAAGAGCCCCCCCACACACACACCAAAGGGGAAAAGCTCTCTTACAAAGGAAGGTCCTCTAACCGGAGGGGCCCCTCCGGCAACCCCTCCCATCAGAGGGGGAGCCAGAAGAAGGACTGAGGGATTAATCCAACCTCACCTCCCCCCAATAGAGGCTGGCCTCACTGCAGGATGGTGCAGGGCCATTGGAGGACGGGTGGGGCTGGCAGGAAAACGTGGGCGGAAGAGAAGGATCAAGGCAGGAAAATGGGTTCCAAGTAGCGTGGCCAGCGCCATCTTGGGAGGGGGTGTCAGGTGCACTTGCATCTTACCCGGGGAGGCACGGCCAATGCCACCCCTAAGGGAGGGTGACAGTGTCCAGCAAGGTGCTTGGGGCAGCTTGGCCGCCCGTCCCTGAAATAAATGGGCCACGAGACCCGCTCCTTTTTAAGGCCTTCACTGAGTGACCAGCTCTGGGTTGGGGGCCCGAGGGGTCGCACACACCGCCGCTGCTCCCACTTGACGACGCTGAGGAGCAGGAGATCGGGTCTGCTAGGCAGCAGAGCCGGGGCTTCCGTCCTCGCGAGCGTGCCCAGGAAGACGATTTTCGGCTCGTTGTCTGGGGTCCTGATTCTGCAGATGTACTGTTTAAGTTATGGCGACATGTCGGCTGCTGTTCCACGGGTCTGGTGATGTCCAGGGACCTCTTGCCGGCTGTCCGATCCGGTCCATGGCCCTGAAGTTGGTGTGGTTCGTTGTCCTTGGGGCTCTTTTCGAGATTTCGTGCACAGTTCTCGATTTGCATATCACCGGAGGTGGATCGGCCGCCATTTTGGGGAGCAGCGGAGGTGAAAACCCGACAGCTACAAAGTGGAGGGCAAGTGGGGCAAGGGGGAAACATAACAAGGGTGCACATAAAGGGGATTTTAACGGGGTTTGAACAGTTAAGAGCATTTTAATTAACATTTTCAATATAAAACTGAATTTATTCATAACAGTCCCCAAGGGAGAAGGTTTGGGGAAGTCTGTGGGGAAAAGGGAAGGGGGGGCTTCACAGAAGCCGAAGGGGAAATCCATAGGAGAGGGGCCCAACACGGCTGGAAGTCGACGAAATGCGTGGATGTGAAGGGCCTCTCTTAAGAGGTTAACAACTCTCCCAATAGCTGACGTGTTGCCACTATAATTTTGTCCCATTGGTGTCCTTTCAACCTGCCCTGCCCGCATAGCCCAGAATAGGGAGGAGAGGGTAGAAAAGGCAGCTTTCTGAGAAAGAGAAGGAGCTATCAAGCGTGAGTTACCCCAAAAAGACTGAGCGAGGTTGTGTCCTCCTCGGAAAAGAAAAAGCCTCCCGGCCACCAGGGACATGCAAGGATACAGCCCTAGTCTGGGCACGGACGGTGAACGGTGGTTAAAACTCAGAAAAGAAAAAAAGGTAGCTCAGCCGCCCGCCAGGAAACCCAAACCCTGCTCCGACCCACTTACCTCTGGGTTCGGGCAGTGAAATCTCTATCTCTCTCCTCGGTGGTGGAAAATCACGCTGAACTGAGGACATCTTCTTTCGCGGTTTGGCTCCCTAGAAACCAGGGCTCATCCCTGAAACCCTGGGTTCGGCCACTGTCAGCCTCTAGCAGTCTATGCATGTGCAGTCCCATGATGCACCATTCTTGGGGCTCGGCTCAACCGCAAGCCACTGCCAAACCCCCCTCTTCTGTCTTCGGGTAAGCCTACCTGGTTCAAGGCCCCCGCAGCTCGGCTGCCCCCGCAGCACAGCTGCTCCAGGGCGGAATAGAGAGCATCCCGGCGAGGACGGAAGAGGGTCCTAGAGCCTCGGTTTTGTTTTCTGTCTGGTGAGTCAGCTCTTCTTAGCGTGAGCAGAGCTCTTATGGCGGCAGAATTCCTTTCTCTCTCCCCCTTTCACAAGTCGATGGAAATAGACTTCCTCTGCTACCATTTGTTGTCATGCGAGACGGGCGACGCCAGCGGAAGCGCGGGGGAGGAGGAGGAGGAGGGGAGAGGCGGGTGCCGCTTTCCCCTTTGGCTCTGTGTGGCTCAGCTTCAGCGCGGGAACAGACGAAATAGCAACAAGGGGCTCAGGTGCAGACACGTATTTATTGTGGGTGCCTGTTCCCCAAGACACCGGGGCACCAGCTGGATCTCGGTTCTAACTTTCAAACTGGGGGAG